TAGAGCACCTTTCATCTTTCCAAATTGAAGCTTCATATACCCATTAAACAGTAATTCTCCATTTCCCTGTGTCCCTGACCCCATGTTTTGCGTCTATGAATTTGATTAGTCTAAGTACTGCATATAAATGGAAATTATACATATTTTTCTTTTTTGTGACTGGATTATTGCACTTAGCATAGGGTCTTTAATGTGGCTATTACTTTTTTCTTTTAAAGAAAATTTCTGTTGTATTTAGTATATCCATACCACTTTCCTCATTACACATTCAATCTGATTTTACTCATATCTCTAAAATATCCAGATCAAAATCTCGGAACCTGTTTTTCTCTTTTCTTCATTTCTTTTGTATAGCTAATAAGTTACAAGTTTATTTAGTGTCTCTGTTCCCTTTATCAGATCCTTAGTATTTTATATCTGAGCCATACAGCAGCCTCTTAAAGAGTCTCCCTAGCATACTTTATTTTCTCCAACCAATGGAAGAGAATCTCCATTGTTTCTATCATCTAGTCATTCAACAATACCCACAGTCTGACCCCAACAAAATTAGGTTACATCTCTGGACTTGCCTTGTGCTTTGTTTTTATGTTTTTACTTCTATGTCCTTATTCTATTTTATGCCTATCAAAAATGTCTTCATCTTTAAAAACAACTTGAAGTTTCAACTCTTCTACAGTCCCTCCCCTAATTGCCCAATTAGATACAGTTTCAACTCTTTAAGTTCTTAAAATAGCTGTTGTGTGGCACTTCCTACACAGGATGTGGCATTGTAATTGTTTTGATGTTTAGATTCCAACATAGATTTTAGTCCTTTTGATGGCTAAGACCATGTCTTATATTTCTTTGTATTCAACACAATCTCTAGTATGTGATTGTGTAATGTTTTCAACATAAATGGAACTCAGTACATAATTAATTAGTTAATATCTTTTAATTTAGGAATTTTTATGTAGAATATAATATTTGAAAATATATGCAATGAAATAGATTGATGTCATATGTACTCTATAGCTGTGAACCCATTTTAAGTAAATTTTTATTTGAAAATGAACTTTCATTGAAAATTTTGTAATGAAATGATTAAAAATGAAAGGAGGAGTTATTTAAAATTGTATATATTCTGTATTTCATCCAACTTTTGCACAGTATACATTCTTCTCAGCAGCCCATGGAACCATCTCAAAAATTGATCATTATCTTAGAGCACAAAGCAAGCCTCAGCAAATATAAGAAAATAGAAATAATCCCATGCATCCTATCTGATCACAATACATTAAAACTAGAGCTCAACAACAAAAATAACAGTAGGAAACATGCAAACAATTGGAACCTGAACAACAAATTGTTCAATGATCAATGGGTCATTGATGAAATAAAAGAGGAAATTATAAGATTCCTGGAAGTTAATGAAAATGAAAACATTTTCATGACTTACCAGAACCTATGGGACACAGCAAAGGCAGTCCTAAGAGGGAAGTTGATGCCATGAGTGCATATATTAAATGGACAAAAAGATCTCAAATCAATGACCTAATGCTACATCTCAAACTCCTAGAAAAACAAGAATGAGCAAATCCCAAAACAAGCAGAAGGAGAGAAATAATAAAAATAAGGGCCAAAATTAATGAAATACAAACAAAAAAACCATACAAACAATCAACAAAACACAAAGCTGGTTCTTTGAAAAAATAAACAAGATTGACAAACCCCTGGCAAACCTGACTAAAATGAAGAGAGAAAAAACCCAAATCAGTAAAATCAGAAATGCAAAAGGAGAGATAGCAACAAAACCATGGAAGTCCAGGAAATCATCAGACTACTTTGAGAATCTATATTCTAATAACCTTAAAATCTTGAAGAAATGGACAGATTTCTAGATACTTATGACCATCCAAAATTGAACCAATAGGATATTAATCCCCTGAATAGATCTGTAACACAAAATGAAATTGAAGCAACAATAAAGAGTCTCCCAAAAAAGAGAAGTCCAGGACCTGATGGATTCTCTGCTGAATTCTATTAGACCTTTAAAGAAGGGATAATACCAACTCTCCTTAAACTTTTCCATGAAATACAAAGGGAAGGAATACTGCCTAACTCATTCTATGAAGCCAGCATTACACTCATCCCAAAACCAGGCAAAGAGACCTCCAAAAAAGGAGAACTATAGGCCAATCTCCTTAATGAACATCAATGCAAAAATCCTCCATAAAATAGTGGCAAAAAGAATCCAACAACATATCAGAAAGATCACCATGACCAAGTCAGTTTCATCATACAGAGATGATGCAGAGGTAGTTCAACATACACAAATCTATAAATGTGTATGCAACACATTAATAGAAGCAAAGACAAAAACCACTTGCTTATCTCAATAGATGCAGAAAAAGACTTTGATAAGACCCAACATCACTTCATGATAAAAGCTCTAAGAAAACTAGGAATAGAAGGAATGTACCTCAACATTGTAAAGGCTATATATGACAAACCTACAGCCAACATCATACTTAAGAAAAACTGAAACCATTTCCCCTAAAATCAGGAACCAGACAAGGGTGCCCACTATCCCCACTCCTATTCAATATAGTCCTGGAATTCCTAGCCAGAGCTATTAGGCAAGGAGAAGAAATAAAAGGAATACAAATAGGTAAAGTAACTGTCGAAGTATTCCTATTTGCAAACGACATGATCCTACATCTTAAGGACCCAAAAAACTCTACCCCAAAACTCCTAGACACCATAAACAGCTTCAGCAAGGTGACAGGATACAAAATCAACTTACAGAAATCATTAGCTTTTCTATACATCAACAATGAACAAATTGAGTAAGAATATATAGAAACAATTCCATTTACAATAGTCTCAAAAAAAAAAAATCAAATACCTAGGAGTAAACTTAACAAAGGATGTGAATGACCTCTACAAGGAGAATTACAAACCCCTGAAGAAGGAGATTGAGGAAGACTGTAGAAGGTGGAAAGACCTCCCATGCTCATGGATTGGTAGAATCAACATAGTAATAATGGATATACTACCAAAAGCAATTTATATGTTTAATGCAATTCCCATCAAAATCCCAATGACATTCATCATAGAGATTGAAAAATCTACCCTACAGTTCATTTGGAAACACAAGAGACCTCAAATAGCCAAGGCGATACTGAGCAAAAAGAGCAATGCTAGAGGTATCATAATACGCAACTTCAAACTACATTACAAAGCAATAGCAATAAAAACAGCATGGTACTGGCCCAAAAACAGACATGAAGATCAGTGGAACAGAATAGAGGATCCAGATATGAATTCACACAACTATGCCTACCTTATTTTTGACAAGGCACCAAAAAATGGTGGAGAAAAGACAGCCTCTTCAACAAATGTTGCTGGAAAAGTGGTTATCTGCCTGCAAAAAGGTGAAACTAGATCCATATTTATCACCCTGTACTTTCAACTCAAAATGGATCAAGGACCTTAATATCAGACCCAAAACTCTGAAGTTAGTACAGGAAAGAGCAGGGAATACTCTGGAAGCAATAGGTACAGGCAAGGACTTCCTCAGTAGAACCCCAGCAGCTCAGCAACTAAGAGAAAGGATGGACAAAGGGGGCTACATAGAATTACAAAGCTTCTGCACAACAAAAGAATTGGTCTCTAAACTGAAGAGACCACCCACAGAGTGGGAGAAAATATTTGCCAGCTATACATCAAAGAACTGATAACCAGAATATACAGGGAACTTGAAAAACTAAACTCTCCCCAAATCAATGAACCAATTAAGAAATGTGCAATTGGATTAAGCAGAACTTTCTCAAAAGAAGAAATTCAGTTGGCCAGAAAACACATGAAAAAATGCTCACCATCTCTAGCAATAAAGGAAATGCAAATCAAAACCACAATAAGATTCCACCTCACCCCTGTTAGAATAGCTATCATCAAAAACACCACCACCAACAGCTGTTGGTGAGGATGTGGGCAAAAAGGAACCCTCATACACTGCTGGTGGGAACGCAGCTAGTGTAACCACTCTGGAAAGCAATATGGAGGCTTCTTAAAAAACTAAACATAGATCTGCCATCTGATCCCACAGTTCCATTCCTAGGGATATACCCAAAGAAATGTGACTCAGGTTATTCCAGAGGCACCTTCACACCCATGTTTATTGCAGCACTATTTACAATACCCAAGTTATGGAAATAGCCAAGATGCCCCACTACTAATGAATGGATTAAGAAAATGTGGTATTTATACACAATGGAGTTTTACTCAGCCATGAAGAAGAATGAAATCTTACCATTTGCAAGTAAATGGATGGAACTGGAGAACATCATTCTGAGCGAGGTTAGCCAAGCTCAGAAGACCAAAAATCGTATGTTTTCCCTCATATGCAGACTTTAGATCTAAGGCAAATGCAGAATGATGTTGGACCTGGGTCACACGCTAAGGGGAGAGCACATACGGGAGGAATGGGGATAAGTAGGAAATCTAAAACTTGAAAGTGTTGGATGTCCCCACTGCAGAGGAGCTAATACAGTGACCTTAAAATGACAGAGGTCAATAGGGGAAGGTGACTGGGAAGTAGTGAAGAGGTCAGATAGAGATGAATGAATTCGGGTTATAATACACTTGTGCATGGAAGCAATTGCTAGGAATCTGTCTGTATAGCTGTCCTTATCTCAGCTAGCAAAAACGCTTTGTCTTTCTTATTCTTGCTTATGTCTACTCTTCAACAAAATTGGAGAAAAGGGTAGAACAGGTTCTGCCTGGAAGCCAGGGGGTGGGGGGAAATTGGAGGGGGTGGGAGGCAGGGGGAGAGAGAAATGGTCCAAACAATGTATGCACATATGAATAAATGAATAAAAATTGTATATATTCTGGAAATACTATGTGATAAATTAAAATATAATAGTAGATTAAGATTATAGTAAAACTGAAATAGAGATATTTCCTTCTTATTTTTGTTTTCTTCAGTGGCGGCATGATTTTGTGCATGGATGGATAAACATACCTGTGACTCATGAAACACAGGAAGAATGTCTTGGGATGGCAGTATTAGATATGATGAGAATAGCCAAAGAAAAAGATCAAACTCCACTGGCTATCTATAACTCTATCAGGTAATTTCCTTCTTCATGTATATTAACATAAATGAATGGTTATAGAGTTTAAGTAGTTTACTTGTTTTTTTTCTATGTTTGCCCACACCTTTTGATTTTATCATGATAAAAAATTGGACTGGGAATATAGCTTAGTGGTAGAGTGCTTGCCTAGCATGAACAAGGCCATGGGTCCAATATCTAGCATAGCGCAAAAATGAAAAAAAAAACTATTTTACGCACATAAATTTTTTGTTTATATAACTTCAGGAGCAGAAATTATTGAAAGAGTTCTAGTACTATAGAAAATATCAGAAGTATTCGATATCTATCTATGTTTTGATTGATACATTCTTAAAAGGCTTGGTAAGTTCAGAGGAATGGAAAGAACACTTAGAGGGATAATTTTTGATAATAGATCCTTGAATTATGTAAATGATTTGAATTGGTATTTCTCAAATTGTGTTTTATGTTTCACTTGCTTTAGAATCACTGGGGTACATTTTAAAATCAGATTCATGGACCATAATCCAACAGATTTGGTGCAGCCCACAACTGTAAAATTTTACAGGTGCTAAAGAGGGTTCTTATGCAAGTGATCCAAACAGCATTCTCTAATATCTTCTGCACATTGGATTTTGACAATCAAAACAGTGTTTTGAAGCACTACTTTTATAGCCCAGCTTTAGTGACTGTAAATTTTCTTCTTTTTAAAAAGGACATATATAGCTATAATAAGAATGCTTTGATTATCTTTTTTAGTTGGAAGACTAAATGTGTATTTTATCCTACATACTCACCAGATTAAAAGTTTGGGGAGTGTGAATGTGATTAAGACTTCCTTTCCTTTTTGCTGTTGTTCCCCCAGTAAATAACTTAAGTCAGTTCTTTGCACAATACTTTCAAAAACAGTTACATGTCCAGTTGGCAGAGGATCAATTTCTGTGTTTTCCTTTTTGGTTTAAAGTTTTCTTGTTTTGTTTTCAGATGCCCTGTTAGGCTTAACTCAAGGGAGAAGGCCATAAGGGACTGATGTGAGGGACTCACTTAGGAATCTAGAAGATTATGTTCAAAGGAAAGCCAAAAACATTCCTGTTTTCTACTAAGACCTTGATCTTTATTAAAGTGCAGACAGATACACATTAGATATTAGTTTTCTGATAAAATTCTATTCTTCAACTGTATTAACAACTTCTAAGATACTCTTCCTCCAACTCTGTTCTACTTTAGCCTGGCATATAGCAAGTATTACAAATAAGCTTTGAATGAATGACAAAAACACGTCTGCCTTGCTTGCCTTTTTAATATAGTTTAACGCATTTTTAACTCACCGAAGTTTTTCACATTCTCATTTGTGCTTATTTCTGAAAGATAATCAAGGAACTCTACTCATTGTTAATTGTCTTTAGGATTAATGGGAGAATAGATGAGAGATTAATTATTGGTAAGAAAAAACCAAACAGCTTTGTTCTGGAAATATTCAGGAAGATGCAGATCTTTGAATAATACAAATATGCATATTCTTTCCTAGACTGAAAAAAAAAGGTGACTGTATCTGTCTGTGTCTGTGAACACGTGTCTTTATGTATACATGTGCACTTGAATATATATGTTTATGCACGTGCGTGTGGATGTGCGTGCATTAGATACTCTTTTGCATGTTCATTCCTAATTGGATATTGTGGCTTAGGTGTTCATAATACAGAAAGTGAAGGAAGCTAGTAAGAGTTTTTTGTTTTTATTCTTCATGTGCTCTTTAAAAATTATTTGTTAAAGGTTAGGGAGGGAAGGGCTAGGGAATGGAAAGAGATTGAAAGAGATTCTTTTTTTCCAATGTTAATTATTTATTTTATTATTTTACTGGGGGTACATTGTGACATTTATAAAAGTTCTTACAATATATCATAGTTGAATTCACCCCCTCCATCATTCTCTATTCCCCCTCCCCCCCATTCCTGAAATAGTTTCAACTGGTCTGATTTACATACATGACTACGTAATATTTCAACCATATTCACCCTCCTACATCCTTTCCTTATATCCTCTTCCCTCCCACTGGTACCAGCCCCCAGACAGGACCTGTTTTGCCTTCCTCTTCCCTGTTTTTGAAAAATAAAAGGAAATTTTTGTTTGTTTAAGATAAACACCTGTCCAAGGTGTTTCATTGTGACATTTACATATTTATATGTATCATAACCTGAATTTCTAGCCCAGTTTTTAACAAGTGAACACATACATAGTTTATGAGGTTTCTACAGGAGAGTCACTTAAGATGCAATAAATATTACATTAAAATTGTCAGTTGTAGGGCTGGGGATATAGCTCAAGTGATAGAATGCCTGCCTAGGAAACGTGAGGCCTTGCTTTCAAACCTCAGTACTATTTTAAAAAGTTGTGTAAAATAAATGTACCATGTTAATTTACCTGTGAAAGCTATTCTTGTAAATGGAAAGCATAAGATACATATCATCTCATCTTTGAGAGTTTTTTGTTGTTAAATGAAAATCACCTGATTCCTTTTTAAAAGAGATTCTGTTGAACTTGAAAACAATAGACTAGGGCCAATGCTACTTACATTGGCAACTGAGCTATGTACCACATATCACTAGACTAACTTTCTAAAGAATGAAGCAAGTGCTGGTCTTTCCAGTGATCTATCTCAGTTATAAAAATAAGATAGACATTTCGCTGCAAATTACATTCTCTGGAACAAAAAGTAGTATAGTCAAAGTCAAGCTCAGTTTTAGAGCCCTTTGGAGCTAGACTGTTATTAATATATATTTACTTATAAGTGTATAATTACTATGAAAAATATACATTATTAGAATAATGTATAAAATTAGGGACTCGACCTATTCCAAACAGGAACAGAGTGTTAATTTTGAGATCTGAAAAATGAGCAGAATTTATTGGGCGAAGAAGATACGCAGGGAAATGTAGTAATGTATAGATTCCATAGAAAAGCCTTTGTGGCAGAAGGGAGCCTAGGTAGAATGAAAAGAGTCAGTGTATGTAGAGCTCAAAGTGCTAGTAGGAGAACATGTAGGTAGAACCTTAGGATCATGTTAAGAAGCTTGAGAACCTTAAGAAACCATACAAGCGTGTTAAGCTAGGGTAAAATGATTAATTTGTCTTTTTTTTTTTTTTTTAACAAGATCCTTATGCCTTCATTGTAGAAAACAAACCAGAGGGAGGTAAAAATAAATGTAAATGTGAGTTGATCTGATAGATAAGATAGTAGGCTATTGCAGCAGTTCCTCTAGGAGATGGTAAGTCATGAGAAAAACTGGCAAATAAGAGAAATATTTAAAAGGAAAATTGAGGAGATGTGGTGATGATTTGATAGTGTGATTGAGGGTAAAATGTAATGCAGAAAGATGTTTCCTTGGTTTCTGGGGCTTGCAGAAATAGATGAATTGTAGTACTCCTTACTCAAGAAAATCTTTTGGGGGAGGAAGTTAAGGGGACTTATGATTTTGGTTTGATATATTGCTTGAGAAATTTTTGAGGAATCCAAATTAAATGGGTAGATTGACTTGATTTTGGGACAAATGGACATAAAACTTAGTGATTGAGGCTGGAGGTAGAACTAGTCATTTTCATATGAAATATCTAGAAAGAGTATAAGCCCTATAACATTTAATCACAAGGTGTAAAGGACAATGAACCCTCAAAGACCGAGAAAGAGTAGCCAAATAAATGTGGATAAAATCAGGAAAGCTAAGGGTAGAGAGAGTTCCAAGAAGAGAATGATCAATAGTGTTGAATGCTGCTAAAAAGTGACAAATAAAATCAATGTGGAAATATGATTTTAGCACATGGAAGTCTTTCATGATTCTAGCAAGAGCATCTTCTCTTGGAATGTTGAAACAGAACTGACATAGGAATGAGTTGAGGAGTAAATAAATGGAAGGTAAGAAGATGGAAATGGATGTTTAAAAAGATCAGATAGGCTACAGCTGGAGGTAAATGTGGAATAAAGAGATTCTCAAATTTAAGATGAGAAGGACTTCAGTATTCTTAAAATGCATGGGTAGAAAAGAGTATGCAGAGCAAAGTCTTGAGATGGTTTGTATATGTATTAGAGAAAGGGAGAGCATATAGGTAGATACATGTCAAAGAAATGGCTTAATTAGCAGGTTTATAAGTGAGGAGAGAAAATAAGTGCAGATGTCTATAGATGTGCTAGCAGAATATTAAGGGAGCCTGCAAGGGGAAGGTGAAGGCATTTGTTCAGAAAAAATGTAAGAATGTTTGCTGAAGTTTGTGACAGAAGTAAGAAGGAGCTTTGAGGAAAATGGAGAAGCTTTGAAATGGCTATGGAACTTGGGAAAATTAGCTGAACAGAGAAATGTCGTAAAAGTGATGGCAGGAATACAGCCTTTTGAAACTGATGATTATGCATTTATAATGCAACCCAGTTTCTCTGTAAAATGGCTTTCTTTAGCTATGCTTCTGCCTTACTTGAATGCAGAACTCTGAGAGTCCATGCAGGGGCCTTATGTACAGTGGTGAAGAAGGGTGCAAGTAAGCAGTGGTATGCTGGTAACAATCATTTGCCCAAAAAACAAAAATAGGAAGACTGATGTTTTTGATTTGTTTGCAACTTCTGTTGATATGGATGGTATAAATATTCTATCATGGCCAATTTTTAAGGTATTGACCTGATATTCCAATTTAGAATTGGGAGCAATGGCAGACCTTTTTCCCCATTTACATATGGTAGATGTAAATAATCTCAAAGACATAAGTAGTAGTAAAATACATAACAAAAATAAAAAATTAGAGTAATTAAGAAGTTATGAATTTCAGCTGTGTGCCAGTGGCTCATACCTGTGATCCTAGCTACTTGAAAGGCTGAAATTGGGAGTAGTGTGGTTTGAGGCCAGCCTGGGCAAAAACTTAGCAAGACCCCATCTCAATGGAAAAAAGCTGGGCATGGTGGTATATACCTGTCATCCAAGCTATGGGGGTAAAGACTAAAATAGGAGGATTGTGATCCAGGCCTGCCTGGGCAAAAAGGGAGACACTATCTCCAAAACAACCAGAGCAAAAAGAGCTGAAAGTATGCCTCAAGTGATAGAGCACCTGCCTACCAATCACAAAGCCCTGAGTTCAAACCCAAGTTAGGAGTTGTTTGTTACCTGTATATTTAATATAACTTATTTAAATATTATATTTCTTAAATTATTTCAGCCATAAGCTGAAAAATATCTTTATAATAATAATCACTCAGCCTGAGCCAGCTCCAGAATGTTAAAATAGGTGACAATATGGAGCAGTTCACATAATACTGTGAAAACAAAGAGAAGAACATCTAACTCACTCATTGAATGAGGTACACACAGATTTCCTGGATTTGATGACGCTTGAGCTGAGATTTGTAGGATGAGTAAGAGCTAATCAGATAGGGGATAGGGTGATAGGAATAAATATTATCAAATGTGAAGGCATGGAAATTTTGTAGTTCTACTTCTGAAATAAAATGTTCATCAGAAGCAGAGAAATAGATTATTTCTCTTCTTTAGGTTATTGTTCATAGAACTGAAAGTACAGAAGAGTCAGAACATTTGTAAAAGGAATTATTTTGATCCTAAGGAAATATTGGGAGTTATTGAAGTTGACATGACAAAACAATATGTACAAAAGTATGTCTGCATAATGAACAATAGCATCCAACAAAATCCATCAATTTCAGAATATACATAAATTTTGAAGTAGACTATAGGAAGTATTTGCAGCGTAGATCAATAAATGACAAAAATATCTTATAAATGAATGATGATCAAGAAAATGAATTTTTAGAGACTCCATTATTAACTAGATGGAGAATTCATTTCTCTAGGGAAAGAAAATTCACATTTCCTATTGTAAACTTTTTGGTAATTCAGGGAGTGTGTATATATCAACTCTGTAGATTGTGGTTATGTCAACTTTTACTTCACTTGACTACTGTGTTGTAGCGTTGACTATCATGGAAAAAGGTAGGGACCTTTCAATTTTGTTTAAGATTTATCTTCCAACTTTTGTTTTGTTTTTTCTGTGTGTGCTCATTACTCCTAGCTACAAGACATTCTTACCAAAATGTGTTCGAGCAAAGATCCAAGACTATCATATTTTGACAAGGAAGCGAATAAGGTACAGATTTCGCAGATTTATTCAGCAGTTCAGTCAATGCAAAGCCACTGCCAGAAACTTGAAACTTAAATATCTTATAAATCTGGAAACTCTTCAGTCTGCCTTCTACACAGAACAATTTGAAGTAAAAGAATCTGGAAGAGGTCCTTCAGGTGAGGAGATTTTTGCAACCATTATAATAACTGGAAACGGTGGAATTCAGTGGTCAAGAGGGAAACATAAAGAAAGTGAGACACTGACAGAACAGGTAATCCTTAATGATATGTTCTCATTCTTTGTTATGCTAAGTAGAATGATAAAAATAAAGTAATTTTAGTCATTTGAAACATGATCTTCCAATTTTCTTCTACAGATAGAAGTGAAAGTATAGTGTGAAATCATCAAGTCCACAGCTATAGTTCTTTTCTTGTTGTTTTTAATTTAAAATTTTATGACAAAACAGTAACATTTTATACTTTCAGAAAAGGGATGAATTCGATAAGTGATTTTAGATCAGTTTTGATTCCCCTTTTCTTTAAGTATTGATGATAAGGAAGCACAATCATAAAACTAATTAAATGGAAAAGATTGATTTATGATAATGTATACCTGTTAAATAATTAATTTAGTTTTTAGGTTTGCATTGCAAGTTTTAAATTTGTCATATCTATTGTTCTTGGATTCTTTCAGAGATTTAGTGGGATTATTTTATTTTTATTTTTTTCTATCATCTTTGGTAGTTAATTCTCCAATTTTCTCGCAGTTCTTATTAAAGTTAATTGTTTTGAAGAGTATTATAACATAATTTAGATTCCTGGCATCATTTAATACTCTCATTTTTACGTTAAAGCAAGTTAAGTATAGTATTAGGGTTAGATTTTAGGGAGAAGCAATCACATTTAATGCCTGTTTTTTATCAATACCTTTATTATCTTAAAGAATTTTGGATAACTGTTGTTTCCTTTTTAAGTTTTATTTAAAAATGGCTTCATAACTTTGTAATTTTAAATGCTCTTTTAATTACAGGATTTACAGTTGTACTGTGATTTTCCTGATATTATTGATGTCAGTATTAAACAAGCAAACCAGGAATGTTCAAATGAAAGTAGAATTGTAACTATTCATAAACAGGATGGAAAAATTTTGGTAAGCTTGTTTTTATGGCTAAATAGTAGTTACATTTTACATTTGTCAAAAATAAGTGTTTTAGAGTCTTCTAACTAAAGTTACTTTCTTACAGAAATCTCAATTATGGTTATTAGTATAACTCTAAACCTAAATTTCAGTTAAGAAAATTATTACATTTAGTCTTTTGTGTTACTACTATTATCTTCCCACAGAGTTTTTTGTACCTTGCTATATTTTTCACTCATTTTTATGATTAACAAAGCATCAGTTACTCCTACACCTTTCCTTTGATTCTAGGACATGCTAGTTCTTTGATGTTACGTTTATTCCTAACTAAAATATCTTTTCTAATCAATAGGAATGTGCATAATGCCAATCATACTGCCTAATTAGAACAGAAAAATAAAACAATATTATTGGGATCTGTATGATACAGTATAAACTATTCCCAAATGAGCCTTATTCAAACTGTAAGACATGATTGACTCTAAAGGATTAGTCCTGTTTTATTTTGTTTTTTAAAATAGCTTCAGAAATCTCATTTAATTGAAAAGGAAGAAATAAATTCTTTTCTATTATTCTGTTAAATTTATTTTATTTATTTATTTTTATTTCTTTTATTCATATATGTATACAATGTTTGGGTCACTTCTCCCCTCCACCCCCTCCCTTACCCTCCTTCCCCCTCCCCTCCTACCCCCTCGCTACCAGGCAGAAACTATTTTGCCCTTATCTCTAATTTTGTTGAAGAGAGAGTATAAGCAATAATAGGAAAGAACAAGGGTTTTTGCTAGTTGAGATAAGGATAGCTATACAGGGAGTTTACTGGCATTGCTTTCCTGTACATATGTGTTTCCTTTTAAATTAATTCTTCTCAAACTAACCTTTTCTCTATTTCCTGGTCCCCTTCTCTTATTGGCCTCTGTCGCTTTAAAGTTTCTGCATTAGTTCCTTTGCTTTGAGGACATCAAATGCTATCTTGTTTTTTTTTTTGGGTTTCTTGCTTATCCTCATACCTTCCTTGTGTGCTCTCACCTCATTATGTGCTCAAAGTCCAATCCCCTTGTTGTGTTTGCCCTTAACCTAAAGTCCGCATATGAGGGAGAACATACGATTTTTGGCTAACCTCGCTCAGGATGATGTTCTCCAGTTCCATCCATTTATCTGGTGGTATGCGTCCTCCCAAGCAGGTTAGGAGATGGTGTCTGGTGGCACTGGAGCCCTCCTGGCTTCTCTGTTCAACATGGTGTGGGGATGCTATGCGCAGGCTGGGGATGTGGAGGTGTCAGAGTTTTGCCTGTTCTTGGTGGTTTTTCCTGCCAGGTGTATCTCCAGCGTCTTTCCAAGAGTTTACTTTAGGAATCACGCTTTCTGCTTCCTCCCGCTAGTTGCCATCTTTAACAGAATCTCTCCTGTTAAATTTATTTTTATCTGTTTCTTTTTAATTTGGATGCTTTTTGACCTTCTGGCTCAAATGTTATATTAATGTTATTTTTTTTCATTTATCTTAAATATCTGTATGGCTTACCATTTTGAATTATTACAAAAATTATAAATGGCTTGCAACTTAGCACACTTTCCTATTCTTAGGTAAAAATATAATAAATAGTGTACATCTACTAGCTAGTATACTGTAAACTTCTTGTATGTAAGAATCATTAACATGTGTTATGTGTTCTGTACCTTGAACAGTCCTCCAGGACCTAGTTTAGGTAGGGCTTAATAAATATTTCATGGATGGATGAAAGGATGATTAATCATTATCATCCCCCATATAGATCTATGATAAATATTTCTGGAAGAATTCATTGATGCTATTGGTAGCATCCTTTAATAATACAAACAGTTTCTTGATGGGGCTTGTTTGGGCTTTCTGGTTTAATTTGAAGTTTGTAATACAGAGAAATTAAGTAACTTTCTAAGGTCATAGTGTTAGTTAAGTGATATGACTATTTAAAACCAAATTCATGATCTGAACACCTAAGTTCTAGTCCTTGTAACTACCATTCTATCTTTATGAATTTGATTAATCTAGTAGATGCTTATATAAGTGGATTAATACAATGTTATATTTTTGTGACTGGCTTATTTCACTTAGCACAATGTATTTAAGGTTCACCCATATTATAACATGTATCAGAATTTCCTTTCTAATGTATACATATATCCCAATGTATGCATATATGTATGTATGCATACTTACATATACACACACCCACATACCACATTTATCCATACATAAGCATTTGGGTTGCTTCTACTCCTTTTGACTATTATTTCTAATATTGCTGTGAATATGGGTGTACAAATATCTCTTCAAGACCCTGCTTTCATTTTCTTTGGATATATACCTAGAAGTACAATTGTTGGATCATATGGTGATGTTTTTTGCAGAACCACCATAGTATTTTGTATCATAGCCACACCATAATACATTCCCACCAGCAGTGTACAGTATAAAAACATTCAAATTTTTCCTTATCTGAATAACGTCCATACTGATGGGTATGAAATGGTATCCCATTGGGATTTTGATTTGCATTTCCCTAATGATTAGTGATGTTGGGAATCTTTTCATGGGCTCATTGGCTGCTTGTGTATCTTTAAAAAAGATTACCAATTTAAAAACCTGGTTTTTTATTTTTTGTTATTGAGTTGTAGGAGTTCTTTATATGTTTTGGACATTAACCCCCTTCTCAGACATTTGATTTGCAAGTACTTTATTTCATTCCATAGGTTGCTTTTTTACTTTGTTGTGTTTTGCTTTTGTTGCCTATCTCTTTTTTTTGTTTGTTTCACTCTTTTTTGAGATGTTGCAAACACAATAAAGTGCACTGATGTAAAGTATGTAGCTCAAAGGATTTCTACATACACACACACACACACACACACGTACCTTTGTAGCCACATGTGGCTCAAGAAATAGAATACTCAGAAGGTTTTTGCATGCCTCTTCCTGCTTATTCCCACCCTCACCTCCAATTTAAGGTACCCATCGTTCTGATTTCTCCTGCCATTAATTGTCTATTTATGAACCTCATAGAAATAGAATGATACCGTATGTAGTTTTAAAAACCTGGATTCTTTTTTTTTCATTTATGTTTAATTTTATGGTGCTTTTTATTCTTCTAGTTAATTATGTAAAAAATTAACACAACTCAAAATGGCAAAAATAGAAACCTCTCATCCCTATCATTCTTCCCTCCAATTGTCCCTTCCATCACCTGTCCTCTGCTGAAATGTCTTGTTATCCCTGCCTAGTCCTATGGACAATGGTAACTGTACTCCTTTTATGATTCTTAACTTGCTTTTTTTTATTCATATGTGCATACAATGTTTGAGTCATTTCTCCCCCCTTTCCCCCACCCTCTCCCTTCCCCCCTCCCTCCCCTCCACCCCCCCTTGCTACCAGGCAGAAACTATTTTGCCTTTAAAAATCTGGATTCTTATACTTAGCATAACATCTGAAGATTCATTTATGCTGTTACATGTGTCCATTCCTTTTTTATTGTTGGTGGTATCACATTGTTTGAATATATACCAATTTTGAAATTCACTCTTCTGTGGATGGACATTTGGGCTATTTTTAGGAGTAGGATTATTCAGTTATATTGATAGCTTTAATATTACTGACAATTTTTCAAAGTTATTATATCAATTCACCCTTTTTTAATAATTAATGAAAATTATAGTTGCCTCATATCCTCATAAAGGCTTAATTTTGTCAGTCTAAAAAGCTAATGAACATAGATGTAAAAATTCTCAATAAAATGCAAACTGAATTCTACAGTACATTAGAAGGGTTTACATCATGATCAAGTTGGTTTTATTTCGCAGCTACAAGGTTGGTTCAACATATGCAAATCGATAAACATAATACAGCACATAAACCAAACAAAGGACAAAAAAGTCACATGATCAGCTCAGTAGATGCAGAGAAAGCTTTTGATAAAATCTAACATCCCTTCGTGGTAAAAGCTCTGAAGAAACTAGGAATAGAAGGAAAGTACCTCAATGTAATAAAGGCTATACACAACAAGCCTATAGCCAACAGCATACTAAACAGGGAAAAACTTTGAGCCATTTCCTCAAAGTTTAGGAACAAGACATGGGTATACACACTCTCCACACTGAATATAGTGCTTGAGTTCTTAGAACAATTGGGCAAAAGAAAGAAACAAAGGGAAATAAAGTGGAAAGCAAGAAGTTAAATCATCCCTATTTGTAGATGATATGAACCTATACTTAAAAGACCCTAAAGACTCCACCAGAAACCTCTTAGATTTGATAAACACTTTTGGCAAAGTAGCAGGATATAAAATCAATATACAAAGATCAGTAGCTTTTCTATATACCAACAACAAACAGACTAGGAAAGAATAAAGAAAACAATCCCATTCACAAAAGGCTCATAAAAATACCTAGAAATAAATCTAAAGTTAAAAAAAAACTTGCACAGTGAAAACTACAAAATCTTGAAGAAAGAAATTGAAGAAGACAGTAAAAGATGGAAAGACCTCCCATTTTCATGGACAAGCAAAATAATAATGTGAAAATGGCTATACTACTGAAAGCAGTATACAGATTCAGTGCAATCTGCATCAAAACCCAATGTCATTCTTCACAGAAACAAGAAAGTCAATCCTAAAAATTCATATGTAAGCATAAAAGAGCTTGAATAGCCAAATCAACCCTGAGCAAAAGGGGCAATGCTGGAAGTATCACAATACCTGACTTCAAATTATATCACAAAGCCATAGTAACAAACACAGCATGGTGCTGGCACAAAAACAGACATGTAGACCAATGGATTAGAATAGAAACCTGGAAGTAAACCCTCACAGCTACAGCCACTTGATTCTTGACAAAGGGGCCCAACACATACCTTGGAGAACAGACAACAGACAACCTCTTCAACAATGGTGTTGGAAAAACTGGATATCCAAATGTAAAAGTCTGAAACTAGACCCTTATCTCTCACCCTGTACAAAAATCAATTAAAAATGGATCGAAGATCTTGATGTAAGACCTGAAAGTACTGAAGGAAAATATAGGGAAAATGCTTGAAGATAAAAACATATGCAGTGACTTTCTGAATCCAGTTGCTCAGGAAATGAGAGCAAGAATTCACAAAATGGGATTGTAGCAAATAAAAATCTTCTGTATATTAATGAAAAGAAGTACCAGAATGAAGAGACAACCTACAGACTGATAGAAACGTCTTTGCAAGATATTCATTTGACAAAGGATTAATGTACAGAATATAGAAAGAGCTGAAAAATTAAATACCAAAAGAAGATACTCCTTTAATAAGTGGGCAAATGAGTTGGACAATTCTCAGAAGAAGTACAAATGGCCAATAAATACATGAAGAAATGTTTCACACCCTTAGCCATAAAGGAGATGAAAAATAAAACTATACTAAGATTTCGTCTCACCCCTGTCAGAGTGGCTGTCATCAAGAAAACAACAAATGTTGACTAGGATGCAGGGAAAATACAAACCTTATATACTGATAGTGAGAATGGAAATTAGTGCAGGTCACTATGGAAATTAGTATGGAAGTTCCTAAAAAAACTAAAACTATAACTACCACATACATGATCCTGCTGTCACAATCCTGAGCATATGTCTTATGTAAATCACTGTACAATAGAGACACGTGCACACCCATGTAAATTGCAACATTATTCACAGTAGCCAAGCTGTAGAATTAGCCTGTGTGCCCCAAACCCACAAATACACAATGGAGTATAATTCAGCCACAAACAAGAATGAAATTATGCCATTCGTAGGAAAATGGGTAGAATTGGAGATCATCATGTTTAATGAGATAAGTCAAACTCTGAAAGACAAATACTGCAAGTTTACACCCATTTGTGAAATCTAGACCTACAACAATATAATAGTACAACATGATTGTAAAAAGCAGACTGTTTGAGGGGGTCAATCTGCAGAAGGGGTGAAGGGAACAGGAGAGTGTGCTGGGGAATATGATTGAAGTACATTATATGTATGTATGAAAACCACATAATGAAATCTACTAAAAACTTATAAAAGGTGGGGGAGAGAGGAGGGAAGCTAAGAAAGAGAAATGGGGGGATGAATTTGATCAAAGTATGTGCATGTATGGAAATATCATAATGAAACCCCTTTGTACAATTAATTTACACTAATTAAAAACAGTGATTCTGGTAGACGTGCACTGGTAGCTCACTGTGGTTTTTATGTCATTTCCCTAGTGCTGTGAATATGGGTATTCAAATATCTCTTCAAGACCCTGCTTTCATTTGGTTGGGTATATACCCAGACATAGAATTGTTGAATCACATATTAATTTTATTTATAATTTTTGAGAAACTTCTAGTGTTTTCTATTTTTATACCACACAGCGTTCCTAGTTGAGCATTTTTCATATACTTATTGTTAATTTGGATAGTCTACTTAGGAGGTCTTGTGCAAGTCTTTTGTATACTTGCCATTGACTTGTCTGTTTCTTATCAGTGTGTAGAATAGGTATAGATTTCTGGATATGTGTAAGATTTCTTTTGCAGGGTATCTATAAAATGTAAGCCATCTTCCAGTGGATGATTTGACATCCTATTTTTAATGGTATTTCTTGAAGAATTAAAAATCCTTAATTTTAATGGAGTATTGTCCATTTATGGTTAATGTAACTACTGACATAGTTTTTGTTTTATTTTTTGTTTCTGTCAAATTTAGGTTAGTACACCCATGGTTTTATTTTTAATCTACCATTGTGTTTAATCTACCATTTTACTATTTGACTTCTGATTATCCTATGTATTTTGTTTTGTTTTTATTCTCTCTTTCTGTCTTACTTTGATTAATCAAATATTTTTATTCCATTTGTTTTCCTTTTACATTTAAAATTAATATTATTTTATATTTACTCATGTATGCTCCTTCCTATTGCTCTTCAGTGTGAGGATAGGTGGATTTTACTATTGCTTTCGATGAACACTCATTTAATCTTACTTTTCTCTGCAGTAACCTCTCTGTGTAAGCATTCCTCTATGCCTTGTGTATTTTTACATATGTCAATATATATGCTATGTGTATATAAATACACATGCCCTTTTTCATGTATTTTTAATTTCATAAATAGGGTCATACTTCATGTATTGTTCTTTAACTTCCTTTTTTTAAAAAATAAGTCTTCTTACTAATCTTTCTATGTACTATTGATATAATTTTAAAGGGAAGCTACTGTATATCATTTCATGCTTTGCATATGCTTTAATTTGTAATATTCTTCTGTAGACATTTTTGTGCTTTTCTATATACATGTCAATATATCATTAGGAGAGATAGCAATAAGTGAAATTGCTAAGTCAAAAAATACAGACTTTGATAGAGACTATAAAATTGTTCCCCCAAAGTGTTTCCAATATATTTATATGCCTGTTTCCTTGTACCCTTTGCCAACTTCGGGTATTTTCAACTTCTAATTTTTCTGCCATCTCAGTGGACGGAAAAAGCTTTCCTTTTATTACATTGTATTTCTTTAAATAACAACCTGGGATTGAACAGTTTCACATTTGTTTATAAACTAGCTGTTTATGTTTCTTTCTCTGTGTATTGCCTATTCATGCCCTTTGACCAGTTTTCTTTTAAATTTTTAGTTGATATGTAGTTTTCCACTGATAAATATGGTGTATTAATCCCTTGTTGTACATATTTGTAATTCCCAAGTCTCTTTTGTTATTTATGCTATCTTTGATAGTATCTATTTTTATGACCTAATTTTTCAAGCAATCCTATACTGTTTTCCTTATTATACTTTCTGGTGCAAGTCCCTTTTCTGTGTTCTCATTGTGATCCTGTACATATTGTTCATTGCTTAGCCAAAAAATATACTGTGATCACATTTCCAGTCTCATACAACCTTTTGTTTTTTCAGGAATTAATTATTGCTTCATTTTTTCCTTTGTATCTGTAGTTCTCTTTCCATTTCCTATAAGAATTCTTTCTGTATAGTAACTTGTTTCTCAATACAATGATAGCATTGGTTTGAACACAGTATTAGTATAGTATTCATGTGGTCAAGCATTTCTGTTTCTTTTCTGGGGAAGACCCTCCTTGATCATTGAGTTTTACTGTTTAATCTTGATGCCCTTTGGATGTATCTGTTACTATATACAGCTCTAATCCATTGACAACCTTTTTTTTTTTATCATCCTAGGAATTACCTTCTCATCTCTCTTATGTTGGATCCCTTGTATTCTTAATCCCATAATTTGTCTTTTTTTCTGGGTATATGCTCTATTTTCAATGTAATTGTGACACAATGGAAAATTAATTTATGGAGCATTTTTACAACTATGATTTTGTTTTTTTTCTAGTCAAGAACATAGTTAATCTTATCTCTATAATTCAAATAAAGAATTGCATTGTAGTGCTGTGTGGTTCAAGTGGTAGAGTGCTTGCTTTGGCCCTGAGTTCAAACCCTAGTATTGCCAAAAAAGAAAGAAAAAGTTGCATTGTACAAGAATGTTTTGAAGTTTTTCTAAAAATCATTTTGCACATTTAATCTTACACCTACATCTTTTTGTTATACATGGACATTTCTTGTTAATTTTATAATCAAATTAGCTACTTTATATATGTAAATATACTTATTGATGGTATATGATTCTCCATTAGATAAAAGGCTGCACTTTAGGCTGATTACATGTTTACACATGTATGTATGATAATAAAAGCTCAGCATAGCTATATATCCTGACATTTTAGTTTGTAGCATAAGTTTTTATCCTTAGCAATATATAGTTGGTATGTAAAAATAAATGCTCATGGGCTGGTAGAGTGGCTCAAGTGGTAAAACTCCTTCCTAGCAAGTGTGAGGTCCTGACTGAGTTCAAACCCCAGTACTGCCAGAAAATGCTCATGATTTCTAATTCCAACTTTTGTATCAAATCTAACTATCTGATACAGATATCAGATAGCTATCTAATATCTGTCAGTTATCTAATTGAGATTAGTCTAATAGGAATATTGGAAAATAAAAAAAATCTGAATGTAGAATGAACAAAAACTGGGAAAACATAATAAACTCATTTTTTGGGAGGATCTTTAATATCAGATGTAAGAATTTGTAATTCAAATTGGGTATTTGGGAGTCATAAAAGAACAAAATTAATTCAGGAGAATTAATCTAACAATGTATAATGAAGAGAACTTTCAACATTTAGAACTCAGTTGACTTTAAATGATATGATTTCTTTTTCTTTTCTCTGCTTAGGAAATTGAACTTAGTTCATTAAGAGAAGCTTTGTCATTTGTGTCATTAATTGATGGATATTATAGATTAACTGCAGATGCACACCATTACCTGTGTAAAGAAGTAGCACCTCCGGCAGTGCTTGAAAATATACAAAGCAACTGTCATGGCCCAATTTCGTGAGTAATACAGACTTTACACAGTCAGTCCTCCTAATCTGTAGGTTACAATTGATGAATTCAATCAACTACACATTGAAAATATTTTTTAAAAGTTGTGTCTGTACCCAATGGGTACTGACTTTTTTCTTGTTATTTCCTAAAGAATATAGTATAACAACTGTCCCCATAGCATTTACATTATAGTAGGTATTATCAGTAATCTAGAGATGATTTAATGTATATAGGAGGTATACATAGGTTATATGCAAATTATACCACTTTATATAAGAGATTTGAGCATCCTCAGATTTTGGTTCTAGAACCAAGCCTCTGTGGATGCCAAAGGAGATTTTATACAATTGATGTAGGCTTAGGAGTTTTGAAAAAATTACTCTAATTTGAAGCTCTTTAAAACAGAAATATGTTTATATAAGTCAGATTACATAATAGCTAGAATTATTTAGGATATAATTTGCCACTTATGTCACAATCTGTAATACTTACAACTTTTTGTATAAGTTTAATATTTAGTTGTTTATGTTGAATTAACTCTAAGGTGTTACTTTGAAAAAAAAAGACCTCTACAAACCGTGGGTGTCAAGGTAAAATAGCACACATTCTTAGTGGTGGAATATGTACCTACTATTTAGGAGTCTTTGGGTTCAATCTCTAGTTCTGTAAAATAAACAAACAAAATCTCTTATGTTTCATTAATTTTGAAATACCGTGAAGAAAGTACAATGAAACATTTGAAATTGCGTCATTACTTTTGAATAATCCAACTTTAATGAAGCTTCAAACACAAGGTGTATATTTTTTATATCTAGACTAGTACTGTGCAATAGAACTTTCTGCACATTGCTGTTTAACACAGTAGCTAGTTACATGTGGCTGTTTAGCAATTGAAATGTAGCTAGTGCAACTGAAGAATTTAATTTTATATTTAATGAATTTTAATTTCATTACATTTAAAGACCTACATGTGGTTGATAATGACCATATTGACCCACACAGTTGTAGATTCGTTACTTTATACTGGATAAAGCTACGTATCATGCATAATATTGAGCTCAAGTCCTAGTTATCTCTCAGCTAGAATGTACTTTGATTGGCACCATGTTTGAAGACCCCAAGCAGAAGAAAAACTGGGATTGTGAGCATACTGGGGTTTGATCTGAGGGTCTTGTGCTTGCTGGGCAGGTGCTCTACCATGTGAGCCATTCCACCATCCTGAGCATATATTTTTTTAAATTTAACCTACCCTTAAAAATTTGAGTATCTTAGATAATACTTAAGACTTGCTTCAGTGTATACTTAATGTCTGTTTACTTAATAAATATGCTTGTTATGAAAAGTTGTACTACTTGAACATTGTATCTATAATTTGCATGCTTAGTACTTTAAAAACTCCTTGCATTCATTCATTCACTATTCATTTAAATATTCTTTCATTTATTTATAAAATATTTACTGAGTATCTACTAAATGTAAGCAGTGTTTTATAAATGAGAAATGTGGTAATAAATGCAATAGAAATAGTTTCTACTTCCATATATATCATATCTTTACTTTCAAGATGTGCAGCTTCAAAAGCAGAGAACAAATTTTAAGATTCATAGGTTTTCTCAGCTACCATAACTCTTCTACTAGACTTTGGTATTACAATAAATATTAAAATAATGCATGTAATTTTTATGTTAATAACTGCTGTGATAGAAGAATCATGAGAAATTTTTATGATATGCTATCTGCATAATTAAATGAACTTTTATGACAGTGTATTCTTAAAACACTAAATTTGTGATTAGAAAGCCAAAAATTTATTTATTTTATTTATTCTTTTGGTAGTGAACTCAGGGCCTCCCACTTGCTAGGCAGGCACTCTGTCACTTAAGCCACTCTGCCAGCCCCCAGAAAATTTAAATTAATGAATTTTCTTTGTTATTTTGTTCATATCTTGTATATGTTTTTAAAGTAATATAATCATCCTTTGAATTGGTTTGAACTTATTTTAAAATAGCTTGATACATTTTTTTCCTTGAAAGATTGTGGGTAAACATATAAAAGAGACAAGTCTTCTAAACATTTTGGGAGTTTTAGATTTGATTTTTTAGATTTTATGACATTTTGTCATAATGTCATAGTGCTTGCTATCATTCAATTTATTTCTTCTTTACCTGTAGAATGGATTTTGCCATCAGCAAACTGAAGAAAGCAGGTAATCAGACTGGACTGTATGTACTTCGGTGTAGTCCTAAGGACTATAATAAGTATTTTCTGACTTTTGCTGTTGAGGTTAGTATGCCACATTTATTTATGGTAGCATGTTTTGTCCATGTACCATTCACCTTTATATTTATCTACCTAACATTATTTCCTTTTAATACTCAGAATTAAGCTCTGGATCCAATAACTGGCATAATAATGCTTAATTTGCCTCAGGGATTCTGTCCAAATAAACATAATTCCTAAGGTTTATGTGAAAAAAAATATACAATATCATTCTATCTTTTTATTTGGCATTAGTTTTATTTTTTGATGTTTGGGTGTTACCAGTCTATCAACTAGTATTTCATCAAGTCTCTTGAAATCTCTTAGTTCACAAAAGTAGAAATCTTTACTAAATCCTGTGAAATAAAATGAATCAGAAGCAAATCTTCTGTTTACTAGCAATAATTAGAGCAAGAAAGGGCTATCACAAAGAAATATAAACATCATAGCACTTTAAGCTAGTGATTTTCCAATATTAAGAATAATGGCTTATAGCATACAGTATAGCTTTATTGTAAAACTGCACTGAAACCTCACTGTTAATGCAGAACATCTTAGATCTCACTTAAGATTATTTATTATCCACTATTTTTGTAAAAGATGCTATGATTTTTAAGGAAATTTCATGGCATAAATCTCTTTATAGTGGCATCTTTGAAAACAGCAAGTAAAGATTTTATTATTCAATTACTTTTATAAAAGAAACTGTCTTGCATCTAATGTGTAGAGAATGGATTATTTATATATGTAGACATATAAAAATATAGAGGGTAGGTTACTTCATCACTTCATCATTGTATAAATTATTAATTCCAATTTCAGAATTCCTTCTTCTTATGTGACAATCCTGAGTATTGAATTATGGTTCAAAATGTGTATATAGACCAAAAGGAATTTATCTTTTGGGAAACAAAAATTGAAAAGTATACTAAAATACTGAACAAGCATTGTAATTATGTGGTATAGCAAACATAGGCAATAATAGAAAGGATTATATTTATTTACTAAGAAAGATCTTTTGGAGTAGGAAAGATTTAAGATTGACCTGGAGAGATTGGTAGATGTTTTATAAATGGTTATAAGTAGGCTGAATATGCTTATGAAAAGCATCTCAAAATATGTTAAGATGAGTGGGCAAGTTAATAGTTCAGCACATACGACAAATGCTTTAAAACTACAGATTATTTAAAATGCCATATTAAAGATAATCATACAGATACAGTAGTGGTGCAATGAAATGGGTATTCACCTTTGCTTATTAAATGAAGTGAGTAATGTTTAAGAGTAACTCAAAGAAAAAGTACTACTTGAACTAAATTTAAAGGAATGAATAAAAGTTCATTGTTCAAGAGATGATGTACATTGAATAATAGCAGGGATAGTTACCAAAGCATAAGACAGCATGGCATTTGCTTGAAATTTTTAAATTAATTTAATATGACTGGAAAATAGGTTGTATGACATTGGTGACAGGAGCTGAGGATGGAGATGGAGGAAGAAATAAGCTCATGGGGCCTAGTATACTATACTAGCTTTAGACTTTATCTTATAAATAATGGAAAGCTATTAAGGATGGTAATATTTTAAATAATTATTCTTGCTGTATTGCTTGCTTTTTAATAAAATATGTCTTGAGCTAGTTCTGTAGGGTATAAAATTGTAACTAGATGCCCTCCCCTTTTTTTAAATTGTAGTACTGGGGTTTGATCTCAGGGCCTCAAATGTCCTAGGCAGACACTCTATCACTTGAGCCACTCCATCAGCCCTTTTTTATGTTGGGTATTTTTGAGATGGGGTCCTTGGCTGGCCTCAAACTGCAATCCTCTTGATCTCTGCCTCCTGAATAGCTAGGACTACCGGTATGAGCCACTGGCACCTGACTGACTAGATGCCTTTTTGAGGAACCAGGGGCCTCTCTCACTGTACCAGCACTGCTTTAGGATTTACAGTTCATTGTCTAAATATTCTGTTGGGTGTTTTTGTGATAACTCTTTTGGCAAAATAATCACTATGATGTCCATTGTATTTTTCCCTCCCTCTCTTCATAATTAAACTTATATAGCGAGAAAATGTCATTGAATATAAACATTGTTTGATTACAAAAAATGAGAATAGAGAGTACAATCTCAGTGGGACTAAGAGGAACTTCAATAATCTTAAAGATCTTTTGAATTGCTACCAGATGGAAACTGTTCGCTCAGACAGTATAATCTTCCAGTTTACTAAGTGCTGTCCCCCCAAACCAAAAGGTAAAATAATTTTCTAGTTATTTTTAAAATACTGGTCATAGACTGTGGGTGGTAGGAGTTATTATCAGCACATTTATTTCAATTGAGAAAGACAGTTCCAAAAAACACTAATTTTTCTCTTTATTCTGTTGTATAAGCTTCATCAAGTAGGATCGAATAGTTTGATTTGTCTATAAGTAACTTGAAGTTCTGTTTTTCTGAAATTGCATTTTAAAGATAATAGTTGCTTGGTATAAGTCAGTCACATACTTATGGATTTGGACTATCTCACTAACAAATTTTCATGTGTTTTAAATAAACACTTCCTTACAGTTTTAGTATTTTAACTTCTGTATTTTTAAAGACAGTAAGATTGGAAATCCCTTGAAAATTAAAATTCCTTGAGTTAAGGAAGTGATTATAATTTTGGATGTGTAAAATTATTGGTAAGAGTTTATCAGAGTTCAGTGAATAAAAGCCTAAAATAATTTTCTGTGAAAAAGATGAACAAAAGCAGTTATTAAGTATTTCCTTAAAAAAACACATTTTACTCTTTGGAGCAATTCATATTTTCAAGTAGTTTTAATGGTATATATAGATATACCCACACATATGTACACATGCACATATATATGTATTTTATTGTTTTCTTTTCAGATAAATCAAACCTTCTAGTCTTTAGAACCAATGGTGTTTCTGATGTACCAACCTCACCAACATTACAAAGACATAATAATGTGAACCAAATGGTGTTCCACAAAATCAGAAATGAAGACTTGATATTTGTAAGCCATTAGATACTGATTATCTTCTTTTTTTCCTTTTAAAACAACATCTGAGTTCTTGATTTCCTATCATATATTATGTTCATGTGATATTTAGTACTGTTTTGTTATAGCCTGTATTATAAAATTTTACTTTCAATTTAAACATTTTTATTTGTTATGAAAAAACATAACCCTTTATTAGTAATTAACAAAATTATTTAAGAATGGAATTATATTCTTTTTTCAGAAATTTAAAAATATTTCTTTACAAATCTTAAAAGTTTAAAAAATTCTTCTACAGAAGACCTATATCTTAACTCTCAAGCCCTCAAGAAAATAAGGGAAATTCAAGGAATTATATTTAAGGAATTGAAAATAGTATATAGAACTGAAGATTTGGCTATCATATGATTTATATGTGTGGAGGTGGGTGGGGAGTGGAGATTTGTCTCCTTTATCACAGGCACTAAAATTAAAAGCAGTACAAAAGAAAAGGGTGGGCTATAATCTTTGCAAGTCCAGAAGTTCAAAAGTTTGACCATCTTTAAATAAAGTTGGCCAAGAATATACATCTTTCACATATGGAATGTGAAACATTCACCCACCAGCAAAAGGAGAAGAAATCAAACATCTATTTTACTTGAGCTCTAAATGAGAATAAAACAGCCCTAGGAATTTATAATCCTAAACTTTGAATTTAGGTTTCTTTATATTACTTGGATGGTCTGAGAAACACTAGATCAATAGATTAAAAGTGATACTCTCTTATGATGCTTAGGAGAAACACATGCAGAATCTTTTGGAAGAACATACTCTTAACTTATGCCAACCCAGCACTCCCACAGAGAAAACAACTCCAAACATGAGTTTTTAATTAAAAATTTAGAAGCAATCAGGGAAGTAATCCACAGCTAAGCAAGAGACAGCAGACCAAACAAATACCCAAATTATACATCAGTAATTTCATATAATTTTCAAATAGAGACTGCAAAAATACATATGTTTAAAGAAACAAAAGGAGTTGAAAATATGGGAAAATGAAAACATTTTAAAATATAAGACATTATTTTTAAAGAGCAAACATTTGGGAAAGAAAGCATGGAAATGAAAAATATGCTCATTGACATTTAAATGCAATGGGTGGATTACGAAGCAAATTTTCACAACTGAATAGAGAATTAGTGAGTTGAAAGATAGACCTGAAGACATTATTCAGAATGCAGCAGATAGGGTGGAAGAAATTGAAATTATAAAAGAGAAACTAAGGGACATATAGGGGAGAATGAGAAGGACCAACTAATTTTGGGGTTCCATACGGAGACAGTAGATAGGATTATCCACATTGTAAAGGCATAAATGCTCCTGTGAGTAATAGGAAGCACAGAGTGGCCAGGTAATTTGACTGATATTACAGAAGTGGTAAGTAGCATGGTTTGGATTTGAGCACAGGCAGCAGGCCTGCTTCAGAGTGCAGGCTTTGAGCAATTATTCTATAAGGATGTTCAAACTGGTACCAATAGTAATAGCATTTATTATGTGTCATAGACTATACTTTAGTGCTTTCGTGTATTTGTTTACTTACTGTCCAAAACAATTCTGTGGAAAAATTGTTATTGTCTTTATTCCTCAGATGAAGAAACTAAGACAGCTGCAGCACAGAAAAATTAAATAGCCTGTACCCTAAAGTCAAGCAGCTAGTAAGTAGTAAGAAACAAGTCAGATATATACTGTGCTTTCACAGACCACATGGTTCAGCCATGCTATTGCAATAGTAGGAAAGACAAAAACACTCATCTGTAAATAAATGTAGGTAAATACCAACTTTATAAAAAGTGATTAATTAGAGCATTGGAGGGGATTTAAAATTAGAATGGAGCCCAAGTATACTTTTTTCATTAATCTTTTTTTTCCTGTCTGTAATTCTATTTAAGGAAGAAGAATACATAATTAATTTGGAACTTCAAATCTAGGTTTAGTGTGAAAGAAATATTTGCTTGTTTTTAGAAAGTTTTTGTCATTGAACATATTTTCTAATTTCTCCATCTTTTCTCATTCTTTTTTCTTTACTTTTTTTTCTTTTAAAGAATGAAAGCCTTGGCCAAGGCACTTTTACCAAAATTTTTAAAGGTGTAAGAAGAGAAGTAGGAGACTATGGTCAACTGCATGAAACAGAAGTTCTTTTAAAAGTTCTGGATAAAGCACATAGAAATTACTCAGAGGTGTGTATGTTCTTTGAGTAGTAGTTTATACCATATAAAGATGTGCTTTCATATGCACATAGCATTCATGCATGCAGCTTTTCAAAATTGTAGTTTTTAGAATTATATCTAAGACCTTTCTGAGTATGCATTCTGATGGGGCTATAGAAAATTACACGGTTTTAAAAATAATGCCTTATTTCTAAATTATTTTGGAATTGTATTGTGAGTATTATTAAATCTCTGCATATATATTGAGGCAGCTGGTTTTTAACTTGACTCCCTGGAGCTTTATGGGTTTCACAGAGGTTTCTCTACAATTTCGTGTACTTAGAAACAGGAGAAATTTGAAAGGCACTGTACTAACAAGCACTGAGTACAAGATGTCTCTGGGCATCATCCAGAGTTACTAGCTAGCAGAATCCCAGTTACCAGAGCCCTGAGCATAGGAAGACATCACCAAACATGACAAAACACATGTGTGTTCCTTAGAATATCTCAAAGGACATTAGCTGAAGATGATGTGAAACATACAAGTTGAAGAATTGTATGTAATCCAGAACGCCACAGTGTTGGTGATGATGGTGCTTTGAACAACCATAAGCAGAAGTTCCAGTCAAGGATTAGTTGAGTTAGAAGTGGTGTTAATACCATGCCAGTATCCGGATACAGGCACCATGATTTTTTATCTGCATAAAAATCATTTTTAGTTATTTAGGAGCCATTATTTAAAACTTAACATCCATCTGCCTCAGTCCGTTATCACTGTATCTGGTATCTACTTATAGTTGTTACTGTATTATTCTATTCTAGGTGTTAGGGGTCTAAGCCCATTTAACTTGCATCATTCATGGTGCATTCTACCAGTATTACTTTCTCTTGTCACTATCTTTCTATTCCATACTTATTAAAAGGTTTCTTCAGAATGCATCATAACATCAAGGTCGATGGTAGTTGTAACTCCATATAAAGTACAGTGTAACCTTATCTGTAGTCCTGAGAATAGGAGCATTTCTTCATGGATGAGAGTATCTTTTTGAACTATGTATACTTACACATAATAGCAAAAAAATTCTTTTACTTTTCTTGTTTATTTTTTTGCCCCCATAGTCTTTCTTTGAAGCAGCAAGCATGATGAGCCAGCTTTCACACAAACACTTGGTTTTAAATTATGGAGTATGTGTCTGTGGAGAGGAAAGTAAGTAAAGTACTGCATTTCTTATGTTAATGTCATGCCTTTCAGATAATCCATTGTTGTTTACATAGAAAATTTATTTTCAGGATCACAGATACCTGCAAAAACCTTGATTTAATAGGAATTAAATATTGGATTTGAAAGCATTGTAGGACTGTTCAGTTATATCTTCTAAGAAAGAAAATCAATATTAAAGTTAAAATGTAGAAGGCAATTAAAATGCCTTGTTATAATATCCACACAATACAGTACTATAGTAAACAAATGTCTTATAGCCATTTGTGTTTACCATAACAATGCATATTATGGATGGTTTAATATAACATTGGAAGTTGAACCTTTAGTATAGACATCAAGATTTGTATGAAGTTATTTGGAATTATGAAGTCTAAATATAGAACTGATAGACTGAATTGCTAATGGAGCTGACTTACACAATTGGATATTGGTATTAGATATGTTCTCCAGGTGTGCTGGAGTAATTATATATTATATAATGTCTATATTATATATAATTACATATTATGCATATAATTATCCAGATTCCTTTGTCTTACTATTGTCAATAAACTAAAAATTAAACATACACTGGTGTACACCCATTACATTTTCTTTAGATTAGTGAACTTCACTTAATTTCTTTATCTATAGAATCCACATATTAATGTATTTATGGAAGTTTGAATTATAATTGTATGAATACTTAAGACTTATTGTTATCTATATTTTAATGCAGATATTCTGGTTCAGGAGTTTGTTAAGTTTGGATCATTAGATACATATCTGAAAAAGAATAAAAATTCTATAAATATATTATGGAAACTTGGAGTGGCTAAACAGTTGGCATGGGCTATGCATTTTCTAGTAAGTAATTAGTATATTCTTTTTTGTCAAGACTTATAGTTTTATCTTATGAAGAAATATGTAGAAATTTTCTTGACCTGGCAACAAGAAATGGATGCCAAATTATTCATAATAATCTGTTAGATAATGAAAAGTGGTTAGGCACATGTTGATGCAGAATCAGTTTTGAAAGAAACAGTTTTGTCATCCCATCAATCTTTTAGAAGCATTGATGGACAATGTATAATTTATAATCACTTAGGTTTAGAAAATTTAACAGATATGTGCTGCAGTGTTTGCGGGCAGTTGGGCATTACGTTCTGTATGAAAGCAGTGTTGACAGAAAAACAGAACACCAAAGTGCTAATCATTCATCAGACCCCTCAGAGTGTATCTGTCTCCTCCTGTTGAATGGAAAGCAACATTTCCTAATATCATCTACCATCAGAAATACATACCATTTAGAATCTTAGCTTTGGAAAGTGTTAGACTAGGAAGTTTTAATGTATTCACTTTATTATGGTTATTGATTATTGTGTCATTTAAAATGTAGTACAGAAAACTTCATTTTATTATCTCAAAGCATGCCTCCAAATTAATATTTATTATGCTGTCTTACATATCTTCTTTAAATCTATTTTGGGGCTTTGAAAATATGAAATGCTTAAATATCTGTTGGTTGATATTTGAGTGTATGTGCATTTAACTTTAATAGGAAGAAAAAAACCTTACTCATGGGAATGTATGTGCCAAAAATATCCTACTTATCAGAGAAGAAGACAGGAAGACAGGAAATCCTCCTTTCATCAAACTTAGTGATCCCGGCATTAGCATTACAGTTTTACCAAAGGACAGTAAGTTCTAGAGGGATTGCACTAAACTTTCTTAAATTTTACTTGGGTAGTAGCATAAAAATCATGTTGAAATTTCCCTTGATCTGTAGTTTACTGATGTGCAATTTAAATAAGTATAGTTACATCTGATCTCTGTCCATTTCTTTCCTATAAGCATGTCACCATGGACTATGAGATAATTTTTAAAGACACTTTTATCCCTAATTATGTATAGAATTTGGGATTTTGTTCATTTTTAATATGAAAAGTTCTAATATTCTTTGAATCACAATAAATTAAAAAATTTCCCTTTTACAAAGATATATTATCTAGCTCAAGATCTTTAATTATTCAGCTAATTCTGATGTTTTAAAACTTTTTTTAAAAGCCTTTCATATGTGTCTTTTAATGTTCTATTTAACACAATAAATTAAAAGTAGAAATTTCAGTTAGGTAGTTGGGAGACATTTTGGGGGACCAAACAACATTTTAATTGTTGTTTGTTCATTATCTTAGCTAATTTCTCTAATTGAATGTTATAAATTTAGAATCAAAATTGATAAACAGTATCCTGTTTGAGCCGATGGAACTTAAACTTAATGGCTTCTCCTACAGTGAAGACAATAATAATAAGATAATAGAAAATCTTATACAGCCTTATCTCTGGTAATTGAGGAAATTTTACCCTTTGGATTGGGAAGTAAATATGGACAAAAATGTATTCATATGATATTGGGGAAAGGAGCCAATGTCTTCTTTAACTGGTTACACAGAAAAATGTTTGCATTGCTTTATGAAAATATGCCAAAAAAACCAGATTATCCTTCATTCTTATCTATTTATCTATTTGTTAGAATACCAAGAAGATAGAGTTATATTACTTATTCCTTCCTTGAGTACCATCTTTGTGGTGGGGTCATGGACCACAGAAACTTCACTTGGGAAATTCCATGATCTGAGCAGAACCCATATCGATTCCATACTTAGAATATATTGTTATTTTTTACTCATACATCTGCTGTAATGATAAATGTTTGTTGGGTCTTGTCTATCTGTAAATCACAATGACCAATGGTATAAAATTATTAAAACATCTCTCAGTGATATGACTGTAGTTGTATTTCTTATACTTTATAAAGAAATTTTCAAATATAATTGAATCAATTTTAGGACAAATTTTGTAGTTTTTTTTTAAGGGGGGGAGGCAGAACTAATGGGAAGTGGTAGAGAACGTAGTATGCCTGTTCAGACATTATAGTTTAATGGAAAGAAGTTTAGTTGATCCAGAATTCATTGAACATGATCCTAATTCTGTCCATGCTGCTAACAGATTGTATGGCTTTGGGCAAATTATTGGGTTTTTGTGGATCTCAGTGTTGTTGTTAAAGCTGAGATATGAAATTAGATGATCTTGGATCTGAAAATGTGGTTCAAGTGGTAGAGTACCTGCCTAACAAGTGTGAGGCCCTGAATTCAAAACCCAGTACTGTAGGGAAAAAAATGAAAGGAAATAAATTAGATGATCTTTAAAATCCCTTTTAGCGCTTAAGCGTGTATGAACTTGAGCATGGATAGTCCTCCAACTGGAGAGATTTGATTATTCAAATGAGTTTGAAAATGATTTGTATATAAAATAATGATTTTGTGGTGATTGTTCACTATACTTTGTTCCTATTATTTAAAAGTTCTTCAAGAGAGAATACCATGGGTACCACCTGAATGCATTGAAAATCCTAAAATTCTAAATTTGGCAACAGACAAATGGAGTTTTGGTACCACTTTGTGGGAAATCTGCAGCGGAGGAGATAAACCTCTGAGTGCTCTAGATTCTCAAAGAGTAAGTTAATATACACTATTAAATTAGAATTACTTTCTCTGTGATCCTTCACCTGATTTGGCATTTCATAGTCCATCTAATTTTAAAAGGGAAATTGATGCAGCATTATACAATTTATCCTCAGTATTTGCTTTTTTAATTATAGAAGCTACAGTTTTATGAAGATAGACATCAGCTTCCTGCACCAAAGTGGACAGAATTAGCAAACCTTATAAATAATTGTATGGATTATGAACCAGATTTCAGGCCTTCTTTCAGAGCCATCATACGGGATCTAAACAGTTTATTTACTCCAGGTTTGTATTGATGGAATGAGCTTACTGATCACTTTCTACCTTTATTGTGTTTAATGACCATCTTTACTAATTTTGTAATCCCTTCCAAGAAGTTCTTTGATACCTCTTAAGCCTTTTTAATTTCTTGTATTCACATGAATTCTCATGCTTTATATAGATTCTGATTTCCTTAATTAAGCACTATCTTTATTTTTTAAAATGTATTATTATTATTTTTTGAGGGACTGGAATTTGAACTCAGGATTTTGCAGTTGTAAAGCAGGTGCTCTACCCCTTAGCCACACCTCCAGTCCATTTTGCTCTGGATATTTTAGAGATGGGGTCTCATGAACTATTTGCCATGCTGGCCTTGAACTACTATCCTCCCAGTCTCAGCCTCCCAAGTAACTAAGATTACAGGTGTGAGCCTGTACTGGCACCTGGCTAGTAGTTTTATTTTTTAGGAAAGCCTTTTCCTCTTTTGATAAACTAATTTTATTTATCTGTTTATTTGTTTGAATGGGAAAAAGAACACACACAATATGTTACATGCGTATGGCATGAAAGTTTTAGACTCTAGTTTAATTTGAGTTTTCTAGTTAATGAGAAGCATGTTTATTTGGCTACAGATATTTATTTCACTACATTGACTTTTTAAATAACTCTTGGTTTTTAACTAGTTCTCATGTATTTTATAATTGATTAATTTTCTAAAGATACAGTAGATGTGTTTTTTCTCAACTTCTTTAAAATATTGAGTTAAATTTATTCATGTGTTTGTCCCATAGGTCCTTCAGTACTACTCATCATCCTCAACACAAATATCAGAACATAACCTTACTTAATTTATATGAAAATTACCTATTTGGAAAGTAATCGTTTATCCTTTGTAAAGTCTTTCTTGAAAGCCTGTCAGATTTTGGTTAATAATTAAAGGCTCCCATTAATATAATCTAAACTATTTCAGTTTACCTGTATCATTTAGTATTTCTAACTCATTCTGATTATTTTCTCAGCTTGACTATGTATCAGTGTTACCCAGAGAATGTACTGTTCAACTGAAGGTAGTGCTGGCTTTTTTCTAGATTATGAGCTACTAACAGAAAATGACATGTTACCAAACATGCGGATAGGTGCCCTAGGGTTTTCTGGTGCATTTGAAGACAGGGACCCTACACAGTTTGAAGAGAGGCACTTGAAGTTTCTACAGCAGCTTGGCAAGGTAAATTGTCATAAGTTTTTCAAATGCAATATGGTCATATGTTTTATTTAGGAACAAAAAAGGTTTTAGAGAGTTTTTGAACCACTTTACCCCAAAATTTTGAAGGACATTTGCAGAAAAAAGGCTTAATTGTTAGATGTTAGAGAAATGTTATGTTAAATAAACAACTTTCTTTACTAAAGAACATCTCAGAATCTTTAACACATAATGTTCATTGAACATCTTCAAGAGGATTATAAACTAAGCAATACTTCCCAAGTTGCTTTGACTGTGGGACTGTTGCTTGGCAGGAAGGTAGGTGGGAGTGGAGACGTTGTAGTTCATGGTAAGTGAGTCAGTGAAGTAGAGAAAGAAACAGTTAAGTGTTTCTGCTGGCCTTTTTACCTTTAGACGTCTGAGGGAAAATAATCTGCTTTCTTAAGGCCTAGGACATTGACTGAACCATGTTCACTAATAGGCTGAGGATCCATTAAAAGATCTCAGCCATGCATAACCTGTGTATTATAAGTAAGACCAAAAAAGACTCAATTCTTAGCAGATCCAACCTTAGTAATAAGTTCTCTTATTTTGCATAAGCTTTTTTATATAGGGTTCTGTACACTGTCTCATTATGAATTGAATTTTAGCATAAACACAATATGAAGGCCTCACTTAGGCCTTGAAATGAAACTCAGTGTTGCAGTTGAGCTCCACCAGAGCTAAACATTGAGGTTATTGTAAAGTATTGGCTTAGCTATATTCATACTTTGCTGCTGTTCTTGTTTTTAAAATACTCAGGAATATTTGAAGGGATACAGCAATGAGAAAAAATGTCTAGTTATTGGATATATTATCTATTATTATATAACAAATTTCCCTAAAACTTAATGACTAAAAGCGATATTATCTTCAGTTTCTGTGAGTCAGACATCTGAGAACAATTTAGCTGGGCTGTTTTGAATCAAGATCTTTCATAAGACTGTAATCAGGGGGTCAGTTAGACTTTGCAGTTTGAAGTCTTGACTCTGGAGAAGATCTGCTTACATGGGTCTCTCCAGGGCTGCCTCATAAACATGGCAGCTGAGAGCAAACACTCGAGGTGGAAGCCCTGGCTTTTTATTTTTTTTATAACTTAATCCCAAATAGTATCTCATCACTTTCTTTCATTGCTTTCTTCTTTTATCCTGATGCCCACATATGCTTAATTCTTTATATCCGTTACCTCTTCTCCTTCATTAAAACCTAGCTTAACACCCTATTATTTTCTGTCCCTTCATGGTACAGATCTGAGATTCATAGATCTGTGCATCACTGCTACCACTTTGAAATTGTCAGCATTATTCTTAGTCTTTTCTAAATAATACTGTTTTTCTCTCCTCTTTCCATCATTGGTTAACATCTTGGCCCATGGATTTCTTGAGTATTTCAGCACTCATTTTTTCTTCACCTTAACCACCTGCCATTATTTTGGGTGCCTTCCTAATGTCTTTTTAAAATTCTTTGACTTTTCTACCCCAAACCTATGTCTATATTAAATGAGTTCATGTTGAATTCTACAGTTTACTATAATAACCTTAGTTACGAAATTTCAGATCTTGAAGTCTTATTTTCTACTTACAACTTTTTGTCTTTTGACTCTTCCTAACATAGAAATCCTTCTGACGTGTTTGATACTGCTATTTTCTTTAACAATTTCTTCTTCTTAAAGCCCACTAGCTACTCCTGGATTCAGCTCTGTCCTTTCCTAGATGGGCAGATCTCCTGGGAGACTATTTAAACTTTGTTTTCTCTGGTGTCCACAATTAAATCACCATTCTTCCCTTGATCACCTCCTTCACTTTCCCTGTTATTTCCTAGTATGAGATCACTATAATTCTGTATTTTTTTCTGCTTCTATCTCTCAAATGCTTTAAGAAAAAAATAGATATGTTTGTTATCTTTATTGCAAAGCCCATGTTTATAATACTGGCTAGGTACTTAGGACTCTTTCACTGTTCTTTTATTCCATTCCCTTCTAGTTTCAGATCATAAGTCTTTTTCTTTGCTCTCAGCATTTGCCTTTCAATTATTATTCTAAAATAAAATAGAGGCATTCCAAATTAAACATTAAGCTTGATTTTTTTGTCAATCTAACTGACAAATTATAGAAAGATTATAATGGCCAACAGAGATGTGGTAAAATAGCCACTGTTTATTAGAACAGAAATTGGTAACCTTTCCTGAGAGAGCTTCTGATGTAATAGGTATCATGGGCCTTTGAAATACCCATATCTTTTGAACAGATAATTCTTAAGAATCTTTAATAGAGATATACACAGATATTTATGAATAAGAACATCATTGTAATGACATAAATGTATTTTTAAATCTTGTTTTACTGTAAATTGTGTTTCTAAATTAAATAACTAGTGCCTGCATGTGATAGTTACAATAATTAAAAATCATTTTTGGGATTTTGATATACTGTTAAGCAGGGAGAAAGGATTTAAAACTCTTTTTTCCTAGTTCTGTTTTTTAAGATGTATTTTGGAATAATTTCTGACAACAGCAGTATGGAATAGACATTTTATTATCCTCCATTTTGAGAAAGAAAAAGCTGCTGTTCAGAGAGGGAACTAAGCTATCCAAGGTCACAAAGAAAGTAAGTAGTAGACCAAAATTCAAGCTCTGGTCTGTCTGACTCTGGAGTCCCAGATCTTATCTGCCTTGCTGTGCCCTTCCAAACTATGTAATTAGAGATTTAACTTTGAGCCTACATATGGTCTAAGTTTAAAAAATAGACTTCAAGCATATAACTGAAAATATAGTTACTTAGAGTATTATAATTCAAGAACTACATTCTTTAAGAATGCAATAATATATAAAATATGCTAATTTGATTAATAGTAAAAACCTATACTTCACGTGTTATAAATCAGCTTAACAATCTTCTATTGATAGTAAGTCTCAAAGACAGTGTGTATTTCTTTAAAGACTGATTTTTTTTTTTGGTGGTGGTGGTATTGAGATTTGTGCTCAGGGCCTTGTGCTAGGCAGGCATTCTACCACTTGAGCCACTCTACCAGTCCAAGACAGATCTATTTTGGAAAATGTAGGAGCATTCCTATAGGCTAAACAGCCTTACATTTATTTGTTTGTTTGTTTTTGTAGTACTGGGGTTTGAACTCAGGGCTTTGTGTTAGGCAAGTGTTCTACCACTTGAGCCATGCTTCTAGCCCTAAAAAGTCTTTCTTAAACCTGACTTTATATTAGTTTGCTTTTGGCTATGATAACAAAATACCATAGACTTACTTGGCTTAAACAATAGTCATTTATTTCTCATGGTTTTCAAGCCTGGAAAGTCTAAGATGAGATTTCTAGCAGGATTTGGTTTCTAGGACTCTTTTCCTGGCTTGTAGATGACTGCCTTCTTGGTATATCCCGCCCACCGTGGTTGAGAAAGCTTTGGTGTTTATTCTTGTTCTTATAAGGGCACCACCATATTGCATTAGGACTCCACCCTTATGACATCATTTCACCTTTTCACCTCTTGGCAAGGCCCTATCTCCATATGAAGTCACATTGGGAATTAGGGCTTATCATAAAATTTTTAGAGGGTCATAGATATTGAGTCTGTAACAAACCTTATTCCACTCAGATCACTGATAGTGATACCAAAAGGTATTTGTGAAGAAGGAAAGTTCTTCTTGGAAGTTAGTTGCAGAAATTTAGCATGTCCCTTGACTTATCTTAGTAAAAATTAATCATTTGTTTAAATGCCTTTTTGAAGTAGTTTATATTTCAGCCTATAATTCCTTTTGAAGAAGTTAATTTTTATAGGTTTACTCCCCAGGTATTGAGACAGTATTTCCTTTTCTTGCTGTAAAAGTTGCCTAATTAAGTTTAGAGATATTCCTACTGATTTTAGCCAGTGAGATTTCCTGTATAATTAGAATGTATTCCTAATTTATCTTGAAAATTTGAGACTTCCATCCTTAATCTAGTGTGTTGTTTAGGGTAATTTTGGGAGTGTGGAGATGTGCCGGTATGACCCTCTACAAGACAACACTGGGGAGGTGGTGGCTGTAAAAAAACTCCAGCATAGTACTGAAGAGCACCTCAGAGACTTTGAAAGGGAAATTGAAATCCTGAAATCCCTGCAGCATGACAACATTGTAAAGTACAAGGGAGTGTGCTACAGTGCTGGTATGTTGCCCATAGAAACCTATTTTAAAGTCAAGGTATGTCTTTGACGTCCTGGGTAATAGAAACATACATTATCTAAATTGCTGGACTTACATATGCCAGTGCCCACTGGAAATGGTGTGTGATGATCATGGGCTATAACTTCAGGAGGTCCTTGGCTGGTTGATTGTTCTCTTTACCACTTCCTTCAGTTAAACAAAACAGTGTAATTTTTAATGAAAAAATTATCGTTCCTTATATTTTCTTCCAAAATATTATTTTTAAATTAGGTACTTTTTTGATATAAATGAGAACAGAAAGCTTTATTACCATCTTATTTTGGCTTTCCTAAATAATTAAAGAACACTAAAATATATTTTAAAAGCTTTTTTTTAAAACTTCTGGATTGAAAATCCTGTGTTCTTAACTACTACCTAACCTTTAATTTGTAATAAAGTTTCAATATCTTAGACCCAGATTTAATATATAAGTCATTTATACATTTTTGCTTAATATTTCATCAGTAAAATGTAGCAAAGTAAAACATTATGTTCCATTTGTATATTAAAGGCCGTCGTAATCTAAGATTAATTATGGAATATTTACCATATGGAAGTTTACGGGACTATCTTCAAAAATACAAAGAACGGATAGATCACAAAAAACTTCTGCAGTATACATCTCAGATATGCAAGGTACCTAATATCCTGGTTATTTTTTGTAAATAAAATGAGCATGTTGAAGTAATTTAGAAATCCTACAGACTTTTCCTTAGCTAATAAAAGGAATTTATAGTAAGAAGGCCATATAAATTGTGCTTGTAAAACTACCTGAAAGAAAAATGTTCTTTTTTCTATAGGGTATGGAGTATCTTGGTACAAAAAGATATATCCACAGGGATCTGGCAACAAGAAATATATTGGTAGAGAATGAGAACAGAGTTAAAATTGGAGATTTTGGATTAACCAAAGTCCTGCCACAAGACAAAGAATACTACAAAGTGAAAGAACCTGGTGAAAGTCCCATATTCTGGTGAGTACAGTATTTTTTCAGTATAATAAAATCAACTTTTAGTAGAAGGGTGAATGTATTGCAAATACTGTGTATGCATGTATGAAAATGGAAAAATGAGACCTGTTGAAACTATTCTAAAAATGTGGAGATGGAGGATAAAGGAGAAAGGTGAATTTAACTAAGATATATGTAAGCACTTTTGTAAATGTTACAGTGTAACCCCAGAACAACAATAATACGATAATTAAAATAAAATTTTGGAATACAAATGTCAAACTTTATTTTTATTATTATTGTTTAATATACACTATTTAATAAAGTTTAGTATTAATATTTTTATGACAATGGCAAGCATTTGTCATATGTTTTACACCAGGTTAAATACATTTCATGGATTATTTCATTTAATCCTTATAACAACCTTTGTAGAATATATATTATTATTATTATTATAGTTTGAGCATCCCTAATCTGAAAATCCAAAATCTAAAATGCTCTGAAATCCAAAACCTTTTTGAAGTATCAACATGACACTTAAAAAGTTTCAGTTTTTGAAATATTTTGGATTTTGGATTTTCGGAATAGGGACATTCAACTTGTAAAGTCTATGCAAATATTCCAAAACGTGAAAAGCTCTGAAATCTGAAGCACTTCTAGTCCCAACATTTTCAATAAGGGCTACTCTACCTATATCTCCATTTTAAGTATGAAGGAACCAAAGTGCAGGTAAGTTAAATAACTTGCACAAGGTCACATGATCAATTAATGGTAGATCTCGGATTCAAATACATATAGTCTGAACCCAGAGTTTACGCTTTTAAACTTTCTTAACTATAATTAATGCTAGAATGTAACATTAATTAACTACATTTATAAGTAACAGTAATTTGAAGCTATAAGTAATTTTTGACCTTTAATTAAAATCGTGAATTAATTGTGAGGAGCCTTCAGATCTCATTTTTCTTTTTTTTGTTTGTTTTAATTTTTTTGGGGGGATAGGTTCTCATTATGTAGCCTCAAATTTGCAGTCCTCCTGTCTTAGCCTCCTGTGTGCTAAGATTACAGGCGTGCACCAATACGCCTGACTATATACCTCATTTTTTTTTATGTGGTGTACATCGTTTTTCTACGTATTTTGAATCTATGCCTTGATTGATCTATGCTTTGATGCAAAGTTTTCTTTTTTATGCCTTCATTCATTTATGGTGCATTTTGTTTTCTAAGGGTGGATTTGTGAAATTATGTTTAGTTGGTTTGGGTTTGTATACATTTCCAATGAACTTTAAATTTGGTTTATTTATCTGCTGATATAATGCTATTAAACTGTGTTGTATGAGTCAGATATTAGTGTTAAAGGAGGTGGGGTTGTTTATTTTAGGTAAGTGTATTTTATGTAATTTTTGATACATGATTTGAAAATTAGAAGTACTAATTCAAAAAATATAACTGTCAATTTGTAAATACTTTCTAGGACTTATCAGAATTATGTGAAATATGTAGATCAGCTTGCTACTGCTATGTTCATGTATCATCTATATGTGCTAATTGTGCTCATTTTATTTGTATCTATATATTTTATAACTAATCCCAGCTGTTGCAAATGGTTATTCCAGACAGAAATTGTATTAAAAAGCCCAGTGATTTAGAACAATTGACTTTCCATAGAAGAGTAACTTACAATGGTTATTATGAATGTGTTTTTAAAAAGAGTTTCTATTTTCTACATAATGTGGAGATTTACTCTGAAATAATTATGGTTGAAACACAACCATGTCTGGGATTCACTTCATATCAACAGGGATAAGGAGCAGAGAGAAATATATGAAATAAGACAAGCAGTGAGTTTTGCTGAGTGACAGGTACTTGGCTGTTCATTGTTCTCTAGTTTGTGTAGGTTTAAAATTTTTCATAATATTAACAATTTTAACAACATGTTCTTATGATAATCATTACCATCCCTTCTACTTAATTATTTTTAGGGTATAAGTGAAACTAGAAAATCAGACTTAGCTAAATCTGACCTCTGTTTTGATCATGTCCTCATTGATACATGAATTTTATTTTTTCCCAGAGTGAAAAATTAAAGAAATTGAATTGAATTAACTGGTAATTGATAAATATTAGTTATATGAGGATCCAGTGATTTGGCAAATTTAATGAATGTAGTTTAACAAACATTTACAGAGTAACTTCTGTTGTCCAAAGACCATACAAGGAGCTTGGGACAGGAAGATAGGATCTGAATCAGAAAAAAAGGACTGTTTCTTAGTAGGAAGGCTGAACTAAGAGGATAAATTTTGTAGAGCAGGAAAATTTAACTGACAGGTCCACTTATAGTCCCTTCCCTTTAAGTGCTTGTAATTTAGGAAATATCAAATAAGCAATGAAATCATTGCAGTACAGTGTGGAAGTGCAATAATTAAGACAATGCAAAAATATTAGCATGCAAGTAATTCTAAGGGTTTATGACAATCAGAAATGGCAACTAAGAGACAATATTTCAAATATAGTCTGTTGGTCAGTAGTTTACCAGGTATAGAAGAAACAAGAGCATTCCATGAGAAGGTTGACAAGAACAAGAGGATCAAGGACTTACCAGTGAATGGAATAATCACAGAACAAATAAAGTAATTGCAGCTGGAAAGAGATTGAGCCTTGCTATGGTTTGAATGTCTCTCTCCAAAATGCAAGTGTTGCCAGTGTGATAGTATTGGGGGAGGGGGACTGTTAAAAGATGATTAGGCCATGAGGGCTTCTTCCTTGAGAATGGGATTAAGAATCTCATAAGAAGCGCTTCACCCAGTACTAAGTGCCTCTTGTCTTTCCACCTTTCTTCATGCAAATACACAGGGCTCCTCCCCTCTGAAGGATATCAAGGTACAATGGAAGTAGAGAGCTGCCCTTATCCCATAACCAAACATTCCTGCCCTGGATCTTGGACTTCCCAATAAATTATCCAGTGTCAAGTATACTGTTACAGCAGCACAGATGGACCAAGAGAAGCCCTGAACACTATCGTGATGAGTTCAGTCCTTGTTCAGTAGGCAGTGTATATGGTGGGAAGAGGCTTTATCTAGGCTAATTGTTTGGTGAGGTTTATATTGGAGGCAGGGGCCTTTTGATATAGAAGAGCAGTTCTCAAAAAGTGGGGGTCCCTTCCATCTCCTTTTAGGGATCTGTGAGGGATCAGTAAAAAATATTTCACAGTGAAGTCAGGATGTTAATTTCCTTTTTTTGTGTGTGGCAGTACTGAGGTTTGAACTCAGGGCCTTGCAGTTCCTAGACAAGCACTCTACCAGTTGAGCCACATCTCCGGCCCTTTTTGCTTTATTTTTCAAATACAGTCTTGCATTTTTGCCTGAGGCCAGTCTTGGGCCACAATCCTCTTACCTATGCCTCCCCCATAGCTGGGATTACAGATGTCAACCACCATGCCCAATTTATTTGTTGAGATTACATCTTAAGAACTTTTTGCCTGGCTGGCCTCAAACCATAATCCTCCTGATCTCCACCTCCTGAGTAGCTGGGATTATAGATGTGGACTACTGTTCAACCTTTTCTTTCTTTCTTTTTTTTTTTTGCCATTTTCACTCTCCCGCTTTCATGGGTAGACAATAGAATTTCCCAGAGGCTGCAAAGAATGTTTTCTATTTAACCAAATGCTAAAAAGACTTGGAAAAATGTAAAAAGTGCTGTTTTCCTCTCAAAATTACTTATATTAACATGCAGTACATTATTTTTAAATGAATTAAAATGTTTATATTTCTTTGTTTCCATATCTAATTAGGCAAATATCATTAGCTATAACCCACTAAACAAAGTTTTTTGAGGACCTCAGTAATTTCTAGGAGCATATTAGGGGAGCCTGAAACCAAAAGAGGTTGTACTAAGAAACTACTGGCAGAGAGGTGGTTGAATAGGCATACTTTGCAGGAATCTGGGTCATTGGCTTTGAAACCTTTTGTATGTATATAGCCATGAAAAATTTTGATAAACAATGTGTTCTCTAGGATATTTTTAAATTGAGAACTCAATTTTTCTTTGTTAAGCTTAAATAATTATAAATGCTGTATTTTCTACAGTATTGTAAATATTGACATTTAAGTAACAACTTTATCAATTTCTTAACTGTATCAGAATTTAATACCCACTATCAAAAGGTACAAAAACAGACTTTGGGGGTGGGGCAGTACTGAGATTTGAACTAGGGCCTTGCACTTGCACCCCTCAAACTCAATGCTACCAACCCTTTCTGTTTGCTTAGTTTTGAGATAGGGTCTCGCTTTATGGCTGGACTGGCCTAGACTGCAATCCTGTTTATGCTTCCCGTGCAACTGGGTGGCAGGTGCATGCCACCATGCCCAACTTTTGTTGGTTGAGATGGACTCTTGCAAACATTTTTGCCCAGGGTTGACCACAAAACGGAGATTCTTCTGATCTCTGCCTCCTGAGTAGCTAGGATGACAGGCATGAGCCACCACACCATCCAGACTTCATTTTAGTTACAAATTTTATATACCTTTTTCTCCTTAAACTTCTACTTCCCTTGTTACCCCAAATTTGCATGTAGTATTATATTTTATACTTGGAAAATTTTTGATCACTTATATTTGTTAACTAACATAGTTATGAACATTGAAATTAATTAAAAATTTTCTTGTGGCCACAAAACTCTTAACTATGTGCAGTTTTCTTCTGTATTGAGTTTTTGTTAAAGTTATTATCCAGATAAAATTTTCCAAACCAATGTAAATAAGTTACAAATCTAGATAATTGATTTTTATTATGAACATTACTTAATGTGATGATCAATTGAACATTATTTTTGTAATGGGACAGAATTCAACTTGAATTCTGTGTTTATTTTGCATTTTTACTGATTCAAACACTGAGAAAACTTGTTTGTGTAAATGAGTATACTAGAAATGGAAGGAGTTTGGCTATAACTATTCATTTATGTGACTCCTGATATATATATATGTAAAAAGAGGAGTGTTCTACCATTAAAATTATGTTACCTGGCAGTTTTATTAGATCCATTCTTTTTCAATTTTATTGAAAATCAAAGAATAAAACTCACTTGACTTTTAAAAATGGGATTACTAACAAATGATTAGTGTCATTCATTTTCTCAGTTTCTGGGAGAAAAATCAAAGTTTTAAAGTTAACTGAAATTTTGCTATTGTACTTCCACTGAGGCACATTATTTGATTTGATATATACTCAGAAGTTTGGAAAAACAGTGTTTTAAGTTTCAATGCAGTATTTTAATAACATCTTTTATTAGATAAACAATTTAAATATGTCAATCCTTTGAGCAGCTTCAAAGATTGACTTAATTTTCTGAAGAATAACCTTACAACCTAATCAGTAATGCCAGGCCTCATAAACAAATAAACTTAATTTCTGGCAGGAAAAATCTAACTTCATTTTTTTCAATTCAAGTAAGTATCTTAATGCTATAAAATACAATTTTAAAAGACTGACATGCATGCATGAGGCCCTGGGCTTAATCCCCAGCACCAAAAAAACCCAAAACAAAACAGAGAAATAAATGTCAGAACACATGTAAGAAGCATGTTATTATGAAGCCTAGCAACATATCTAGCAGAGCCCCTTTCTTCCAAGATGCCTTCTTTTTTCATTTTAAACATTTGCTATCACACCTAATTTTATATTCTTTTCCATAAAGAAAGCTACCAAATAACCTTTGGGACCTGTTTCTCTGAATATCTGGAAAGATAAGTCATGAAGGCAGTCAAGATAAGCTAAATAGCATATATATATACATATATATATATATATATATATATATACACACACACACACACATATACACATACACATGTATATAGTATAATTAATTTCACATTGAATTAGGAAAATCATTTATCATTACTTAATTTTCAATAAATAATGCAGAGTAAAATGTAGCTAAGATTATAGCTTAAGAGGTTTAAGTATATGGTTAATGCATGGCATTTCTTCAGTAACTGTGTTGGGGAGAGGCATATAGTGAATTCTGATGTTTGACTTTGGGGAATAATTAAGTAAGAAATTTTTATCAAAATCATGGGCTGGAGATGTGGCTCAAGTGGTAGAGAACCTGTGTAACAAGCACAAGGCCCTGAATTCAAACCCTAGTACTGCCAATAAAAAGAAAATAAATCAAGAACGTAGAAACTTTTATGAAAATCAGAAATAATTCCCTTTATAACATGATTAAATTTTTCCTGTATATTTAATGCAAACAAAAGCTATATACTGTTTAAAACTAATTAATAGACATTTGGCATATAGTTTTATTTTTATAGTAAGTAGAAAAGTAAACATTTTCTATAATGAAAAGAGGTTGACTAGTTTTATATATTAAAATATGGGTTGGTAATGTGTAAGTTTAGCTAGCTCATTGAATGATGAACAGTGTTTTTATTCCACAGCATATGTATTTTATAAAAAAATTTATTTCTCATCATTTTGGAGGTTGGGAGTTCATGATCAAGGTAGTGATAGGTTCCATTGTCTGGTGAGGGCTGCTCTCTCTTTCTAGAATGGTACCCTGTTGGTACAGCCTCTGGAGGTAAGAACCCTGTGTCCTCACATGGAGGAAGGTAAAAGGCAAAAGGGATCCTTGGAGCCCTTTAAGGTGTCCCAAACAGTGTATACACATGTGAGTAAATGTAAAAACAATAAAATTTAAAAAAATTTTATAAGAACCTTAAACCCATTCATAAGGGAGGAGACAAATCATTTCTTAAAGGCCTCCCTCTTAACACTATCACATTGGTCATTAAGTTTGAACACCTGAATTTTGCAGGGGACACATTCAAACTGTAGCAAACATGAAGTCTGAAAAAAAAAAATCATGTCATTTTATCTGTAGGATTGAGTCATCTTATCTTTTTTAAAAACAATTTCATTTAAAAGAATCTTTGTTATCTCTAATACTTTAATTGTTCAAGCTTTTTTCTTTTAAGCTACTAGCAAGTTTCAGTATGTACTAGGAATTGATATTAAGAGCTAGAGGGAAAATGCTTCTACTTAAATAGCTTTAGAAATTGTTAAAGTAGGGTTTTGGACTCTTGGGGGAGCCTTATACTGATCTTACTATAGAGCCCCCTTTGGGCAATATTTGTACTTCCTTGGTTACTCTGTTTTAGTCATAAGGATCTGCCCTAAAACTATAACAGTGGATAGTGGGTCAAGAGACTGATTTGAGACATTTCTAAAATGCATTCTAAAAGGACTTCACTCACTAGACATTGGAATGAAAGAGGTGTCAAAGATAAATCTTAAGATTTCCAGCATGGGTAGTAAGCAGATCTTAATGCCATTTGTTTCATAATGAAAATAATCAGCAGAATATATAAAGTTGGGAATGAAGTACTGTTTGCCTTTAGATATTTTATGTGGAAATGTTCACTATGTCTAGAACACGAAAGAAAGATCAAAGGTGTGGTTATAAATTTGGGAGGCTTTATTATATAGTTGAATGCTACTATCTAAGGAAAAGGGTTTTTTTTGTTTTTGTTATTGTTTTTGTTTTTATGGCACTGGGATTTGAACTCAGGGCCTCACATTTGCTAGGCAGGAGTTCTTACCACTTGAGCCAGCCCTAGGAAAAATTTTTAATAGAGAGAGTGAGCCACTCATAATTAGGGGATTCTAGAAACCTTCCCAGGGCCAGTTAAGGTTAACATTGCAAGGAAGCCCTTCTGAGGATAGCAGCCTAAAGCCTTAAGTTGATGATTTTCTGTACTCCTAGGATTTTTAAAAATTTGACAATTTATTTAACACAATACTCTCCAAGGGAGAATTTTGACCAATGGACTGTGAATATGAATAGGTTACATTGATAAGTTTTACCTTTATTATTGAGATGGCTTAGAGAGATCTATTTTTAGACTGATGAAATTAAAAATATGAGCTACATAAACTTAATTTCTCCTTTAAGAGATTAAAATCAAATAACTGTTTTTTAAATGCTTTTTATGGTTACAGGTATGCTCCAGAATCACTGACAGAGAGTAAATTTTCTGTGGCCTCAGATGTTTGGAGTTTTGGAGTAGTTTTGTATGAACTTTTCACATATATTGAGAAGAGTAAAAGTCCACCAGTGGTCAGTGTGCTTTTCATTTACCTTCATTTTTTTTTAACCATGAGAAAGGCTTTCTTCAAAGAGTAATAGTAAACTTAGGATTTATTTTAGAGCCTCTTATTGCTTATTTGAAGGTAATATCCAGCAAAATAACCCTAAACTTACTCACTTAATTATTTTAAAGGAGATGTGTTCTCTTGTATTTGTCCATTTTCTGTTGCTATAACAAAATATCTGGTGCTGAGTATTTTATAAAGAATAGAAGCTTATTTAACTCATGGTTTTAGAGACTGAAAGTCCAATATCAAACCCTGTCCCATCTGTTTGGCCTGCAGTGAGGGACCCCTGGGGTGCATCACAACATTACAGATAAGTGAAGGGAATTAGTTGCATACAAAAGGAATCACATCACAAAGCTTGAAGCCAGAGTGCCAAGAGGAATCAGTCTTACTTTTTCTATAAAGCAACTTGTTCTCATGAGAAACTAATATACTCTGTGAGACGAGCATTAAACCCTTTTGAAGATTAATCCCATTCCATGTCTGTGCCCTCAGTGATTTAATTATCTTAAAATAGGCCCCACCTGCTAGAGTCTGCCACCTCAACACTGCCACAGTGGGGACCAAGCCTCCAGCATACAAACATTTAGAGGAAAACTACCTTCAAACCATTGCATCTCTTATTATTAAGTAAATTCAGTAAGCTCATTTACTCTAGGAATTATTACATAAATTAGAATAAACCTTTCAAACTATTTGTTTTACTGTTCATTACAGATTTCTTTCAGTGTAGGAAAGCATGAAAAAATAAAAATCATTTCTAATGCAAAATCACTCAGAGGCAATCACTTTAATATTGTGTATATTTTCTTCTAAGCTTTTTAAATTTTTATACATGAAAGTGAAATTTTATGAAGAAATAGATATTGTTTTATAAAATTAGGTCATGTTATATAGTGTGCCATCCTGCTAATTCACTAATTATTACAGTGTGGGTATTTTACTATATTAGTATTATTGCAAATATGATTTCTTATTGCTGGGTAACATTCCATCATAAAGTTATATATTTCTGGACAACCATTTCTAATTTATTAGTCATTTATGTAACACTTCAGTGAACATTCTTATATGTAAATATATCTATCTCTGGCTCTTAAATTAAAATAAAAGTATACTTATAAGTGAGAGGTTATAACCTAGTAAAGGCTTTTGATTGTTTCCATATACTTTCTAGAAAGGCTATGCAAGATTGTATCTTAGTAGTATGTAGGGGGTGTATCATTTGCTTTATTAGCTATTATATTTTTATGAAATTTGGCAAATTGATATGAAAAAAGTTACCGATTTTATTTTAATTTGCATTTCCCTTATTAGTGTGATTGAGCATGTACTTATCAAATCATTGAAAATGGGCTTGTATTTCAGGAATTTATGCGTATGATTGGTAATGACAAACAAGGGCAGATGATTGTGTTCCATTTGATAGAACTACTGAAAAACAATGGAAGACTACCAAGACCAGATGGATGCCCAGATGAGGTAACAATTTTCTTTTATCCACAGTAATCACGCCCACTCTTTTTCTTTTTACTGAAAGATTTTAGGTCACTGAAATTGCTGAGCTTTTAGATAAATATAATAAAGAGATGCCTGTGGATCAAGGTTAACTATAAGATGTACCATACCTGGTATAGGAAAATTAAATGGTGTTCCAACTTCATTTCTTCCACTGATTACTTTGTATTTATTGTAATTTTGTTTGTTTCTTTTATAGATTTATATGATCATGACAGAATGCTGGAATAATAATGTGAATCAACGCCCTTCCTTTAGGGACTTAGCACATCGAGTTGATCAGATACGGGACAATATGGCTGGATGAAAGAAATGATCTTTACAGTGAAACCAAAATAGACTTCCAGAACAAAGTTTTGTATTTCATATTGCTGTGGACTGTTATTACACATATCACTGTTTCATAAATCATGATGCTAGCCAGAAAAGATGTGAAAATATCTGCTCAAAACCTTCAAAGTTTAGTGAGGTTTTCTTCACATAGCCATTTGTAAAAGACATTGATGAAAAATCTTGAGCAAGAAATTTGTTTCATGAGTCTTATCTGCCAGTTACATCTCCTTCTTTGTCAAAAGAAAAAAGTAACGTTTTTCAACTCAGCTTTTTGAGAGATGAAAAAATTGTAAATTTTGCAATGTTAAAGATGCACAGAATATATATGTACAGTTTTTACTACTGTGAGTGTATAATACCTTGGCACCTGAGGGCTGGTGTTCTAATTTTTCCATAGTTGATCTATAATAACTTTACAAAAAAAATTAAGATGCTTAGAAAATTGAGCAAGCACCTTGCCTGTTCTTGTTCATCTATATCGCTTTCTGGCAGTATTAAGCAGGTATATGATTTTTGCTTATAGTTCCATGTTCTGTAAATATTTTTCAAAGCAAAGGGAACAAAAGTCTAGTTTTCTTTGTATAGGAAATTTCCCTAATGCTAAAGAGTACATTTTGAAGTGGAACAAGCTTGCAAAGATATAGCACAATCTATTTTCTTATTTTTTCCCCTTGTATTTGTTTATGGTGAATATGTTTTTAAAATAGAAGTTTCTCCAATTTTTTTCTAAGACTATAATTCATAGTATTCTTTTACATTTTTGAGACTAGAGTGCCAGGAACATTGTCATCCTTTGACCTGTTGACTGCCAATAAGATTCTTCAATCCTTGAGACATGTGGTCATGAATTAAATTTAAACATAAGCCATAAAATAGTTTCTAAAATTATACAAGTTATTTAAGATGCGTAGTAGATTGGGACAGGTAGTCTGAAGACCGTAGATTTGAACTTTTTATTACAGTCATAGAAGAGATTCCTTTTTTAGAGAATCTCTTATACAAAGGAGAAATGAGGTATTTATCTCATTTTGTTAATTTTATTCAAGAATGCCAGTGGAAAATTCATAATGTATATCTTCTTTAAAAAAGGAGAGAGAGCATACATATTTTCAAATAAGTATAAAGGATTGTTTGCTGTTGTCATCTGATTTAGTGCTGCTCCATTTTAGACATGATGGGCTTTTTGTGTGTTATTTATACAAAATTTAAAATACTCAATATTTTGGTAAAAAAGTTTCTTATTTTATTTTCAGTGGTGTATGGAATTTTTAAAAAACTTGTATTTAAGACTTCTGAGTTTTGGTTGGGGAAGGAAAGGTAAGAATGTTTCTTACAGTCTTCATCTTTAAGGCATTTTAGTAAATGAAGAAAATCATAAAATGAGAGCATATTAGATTTTTAAAAGTTTTTTTCTAGTAGATATTTTGATGAAAGTTGAACATAATTTTTATTTAATTTATAAAGTCTTACCCAGGATCTATATGTATTACAGTTAAGAGATCTTTGATTCTACTTTTCAAATAAAAGTAGCATACTATACAGTATGTTTGATTTCAGATTTTTATACTTAAACTTACTTAAAAATAGATTTTTTTCTCAAAGGTCTGTAACATTTTGTTTTTTAAAAACAAAGATGTGAAATGTATTTCATTAAACTTTTTTAAATGTTTCATTTTTTAGTTTTAAAGATTCCCAGACATTTATTCTTTAGTTTATAGATTGAGACGATATCTAATTGTAAAATTCTAAGTTTTCAAGAGACTTCTTTGTCACTGAGGGTTTGTAATGTTTTAAATTTTGATTCTGACTATACATAAAAAGACATTGATCTTGTAGCTCTTTAGTTGCTTGTGCATAAGAAATAGGTAAGTAATTATATCAGTTAATATCAGATGTTTCTTCAAATTAATTTTCTTCAGATATAAGCAAAAAAGTTTTCTTAGAATTCTGTAATTCTGTAAATATTCCAAGATGTTGTTATATAATCTTTATATAAATAATTTCCCACTCCACAGATATTTGCTATAGGAAGTATTTATTTTTTTCATGCTATTTATATATGCTACCAGTAGCACTATAATTTGCTATGGAAGAGTACTTTCTTATAACCCAAGACTTCTGCTTTAAAGTTAAGTGAGATTTTTATCACAGTTGTAACTTCTGATATTTAAATTTTATCTATACAGTCTTACTATTCAGTAGACATTTCTATATATAGGGAACCGATGAAAATGTTTGTGTTTTTCACCAAAAAATAAATAAAGGGACTATTATGGGATGGGAACTAGTAGGAGGGGAGAGGGCAAATGGAGAGGATAAAGGGGTGGGTGAATATGATCAAAGTACTTTATGTTCATGTGTGAAAATAGAATGATGAAACCTGTTAAAGGTGGGGGATAAAAGTAATAAAGGGGGTAAATTTGATTAAAGTACATTATATGTATGTATGGAAAAATTACAATCGAACCCCTTTGTACCATTGACACATACTAATCAAAATAATTAAGTGAATGTTATTTTAATTTTTTAATTTTTTATTATAAGCATATATTTTAATTGTACATAATAATGGGTTTTACTACATTTCCACACATTATAATAATTTGATCATATTCATCCCCTCTTTTATGCTTTCTAATCTCTTTTTTCTTTCTTTTCCTATTCCACATCCCTAATAGTCCCCCATTTACTTTCATGTCCTTCTCCTGTCCCCTAAATTACACAGATGATAGAAAACATGTGATACTTGTCTTTGTGAGAATGGCGTTATTCGGTTCCATCCATTTTCCTGCAAATGACACAAGTTCATTCTTCTTTAAGGCTGAATAAAAATGCATTGTGTATATATGAACATTTTCTTTATCTCTTCATCTACTGATGGGTACCCAGGCAGATTCCATAACTTGGATTTTGTGAATAGTGCCAAGATAAACATGAATATGCAGGTATCTATCTCCATAGTAATCTTACTTTGATTCTTTTGGGTATATAATCAGAAGTGTTATAGCTGAATCATATGAAGTTCTATTTTTAATTTTTTGAGGAGCCTCCATACTGATACCCATAGTAGCTGGCCTAATTTACATTTCCACCAACACTATGAAAGGATTCCTTCCCCCCACCACCCCAGCATGTCCTTGCCAGCATTTGTTTTTCATTGTCTTGATGATAACCATTCTGACATTCTGACGGGGGTGAGATGGAATCTTCATGTAGTTTTGATTTGCATTTCTTTTATGGCTAAAGACACAGAACATTTTATCATGTACTTATTGGCCATTTTGCCTCTTTATTTGAGAAGTGTCTGTTTAAATCATTTGCCCATTTGTTGATTGGATTATTTGTACTTTTGGTGTTCTTTTTTTTCTTTTTTGTGATACTGGGGTTTGAAGTCAGGGCCTCAGGCTTGCTGGACCTCTCTGCTACTCTGCCAGCACTTTTCTGTGTTGAGTATTTTTGAGATGAGGTCTTGTGAACTATTGATCCTCCTGATCTCCTCATCCCAAGTAGCTAGGATTACAAGCGTCAGCCATTGGTACCCAGCTATGGTATTTAATTTTTTGAGTTCTTTATATATTCTGAATATTAATCCCCTGTTGGATGAAGAGCTGAAAAAGCTTCTTTGCCCATTCTGTAAACTGTTTCTTCTTTCTGATAATTGTTTCCCTTGTTGTGCAGAAGCTTTTTAATTTGATGTAAATCCCATTTGCCAGTTCTTCCAATTATCTCTTTGGCTTTTGGAGTCCTATGCAGAAAGTCATTGGCTATGCCTATATCTTCAAGTATTTTTCCTGTATTTTCCTCTAGTAGTTTCAGAGTCATAAATTAAGATCTTTGATTCATCGTGACTTGTTTTTTAATCCAGTAAACCAGTCTGTGTCTTTTTTAAAATTTATATTATTTATATGACTTCCCCTGGTTTCAAAGTTTTGGTTCAGTCTTTTGATCCATTTTGAGTTGATTTTTTGGGGGGATGGTACTGGGATTTGAACTCAGGGCCTTACACTTGCTAGTCAGTGTTTCTACCACTTGAGCCACACCTCAATCCTTGAGTTGGTTTTTGTATAGGGTGAGATTGAGATCTAGTTTCAGTGTTGTACATATGGATATCCAGTTTTTCCAGCACCATTTGTTAAAGAGGCTGTCTTTTTTTCCAATGTATTTTTTTTGGCACATTTGTCAAGAATCAGATGGCTACAGCTGCATAGGCTTAGTTCTGGGACTTCTGTTACATTGGTCTACACATCTGCTCTTCTGCTCATGCTGTGAATTGATTTATCATTTCTTTTTTTTTTATTGTGTCATTATCCAGTTTTGATATTGGGGTAATACTGGCTTTGTAGGATGAATTTGATTATGTTCCTTCCCTTTCTATTGTATGAAATAGTTTGACGAACATTGGTGTTAATTCTTTTTTTAAAGGTCTGTTTGAATTCAGAGAATCTGGCCAGTCCTGGGATTGTCTTAGTGTTTTAATCTCATTGCTTGTTACCGATATGTTTATGCCCTCTTGCTTCAATTTTGGTAGGTCATATATGTCTATAAATTTGTCCATTTCTTCTAGATTTTTGCAAATGATTGGAATATAAGTGCAAAATGTTAGACCAATGATCCTCTGGATTTAAGTGGTATCTGTTGTAAAACCCACTTTTTCATCTCTAATTTTATGGGTCTTTTCTTTCTTTTGCCTAGTTGACTAAGGCTTTGTCTATTTTGTTTATCCTTTCCTTGTATTTTTCTGTTGATTTCCATTTTATTAATTTTTTATTTATTGATTTTTATTATTTCTGTCTGTCTACTATTTTGGGGGTTGGCTTGTTTTTCCTTTTCTTAAGACCTTGAGGTACATTATTAGGTTATTTATTTGAGATCTCTCTGATTTTTAATATAGGCATTCATAGCTATAAACTTTTAGATTTTGGTAAGTAGTATTTTCATTTTCATTTTATTCTAAGAAGTTTTTAATTTTCCTCCTTATTTCTCCAGTGACCCACTGAATCATTCAAAATCAATGCCCACATATTTGTCTATCTTCTACAATTTCTCTTGTTGTCAATTTCTAATTTTACTTCATCATAATCTGATAAAATGCAAAAAAATTGCTGTTTTTTTATTTGCAATTGTTAAGACTCGTGATCTATTTTGGAGAAAGTTCCATGGATTGCTAAGAGTGCATATAGTCCACATCATTAGAATATTCTGTAGATGTTTGTTATGTCCAGTTGATGCAGTTTAACTCTAAGTTTCTTTGCTAATTTTCTTTCTTTCTTTTTTTGAGTCTGGGTAATTTCCTCAGCCTCTGGAGCAGAGTTGGTGACCTTACATGAGTCCTCCAGTAAGGGGAGCCTCTTTGCCATCCTGGATTCCCACAGTGTGGTGCTCTGCAGCCCCAGAACACTGCCTACTTCTCCCTCCCACCAACTTTCCACCAATCTCTGTCTGTGTGGGGCTTCCTAGGTCCTGCTGTCTCAGCCAGCACAGTGACCTGCCCTCCCATTCTGCCTACTCAGACCCAGAGAGTGAAACCAAGAAGAGAATCATGTTCACCACCAACCAGAATCACAGTGCCAAGCAGTTGTTCTTCACCAAGCACAACCTGATTGTGAGTGGCCACAGGGACTTGGGCAGAACCACAGGCAGAACACCACAGTGCAGCAATAGGAAGCACACATAAGCTGAACCCCCAACCTAAATGCAGGTGGGTCTCCCAAGTCCTGGGCCCTGTTGATTATTGCTGGCCTTTCCACACAGTCACCATCAACCTCAACTCCATGGTCAACAACATCAACCAGCCCTTGCAGAGATAAGGGCCATTTCTTCTATAATAACTCCCAAAAGAGTCCTGCTATCCTCTATCAGGACTATAACCAGCCTCCCATATTCATAGAGGAGTGGTTACCTGAGTCAGACCTATGGAACCCATTGTTCCCTGTTGATCTTGGTCAAGGAGTACACTCTGATGATAAGCCCAGTAGCACCTAAATTAAGAGGAAAAGTACATCAATTTCCTTAGATAGCAAACATCTCATGGAAATCTGGAGAAATGGTGGTGGTGGCTTGGTGGGAAGGAAGCCTATCTGCAAATAGTCTTTTCAACAGCAGGAAACAGAAATCCACTTTCTCACCTGTCTCTGACATCAGCCTGGCCAAATGAACAGCTCACTGCAGGCCAACTCTGTCCTGAGCCAAAACTACTTGTTCTCCTTCTAGCAGCCCCAGAGGAGATCACAGTGGAGGCCAAGCTTACCACCCACCCCAGGAAAAGCTTTTCTGACTCCCTAATATGGCTGAGGAACTCAGCCCAGGCATGTGCCCTTCCAACTGTCTGACCTTCAGCAGTGGCCTGGCTAAATATCACAACTTACATGCATCACCAGTGGTGTTTCCCTCTCCCACAAGGACCCTGATGTAGCCAGCCTAAATACCTCATCTTCAGATGAGGGAGGATATTTTAATTTCCCAGTCTTCCATTATTATTGTATTTGAACTTATCTGTCCTTTTGTGTCCAGTAATGAAGTTACATG